CTTGATAGGTGCGTAACTGAAAATGAAAACTTATTTCAAATGCAAATGCAACAATACGGTTGGGTATGGAGGTAAATAGATACCATATGCTATCCTGAGGCAGATATTGCAACTGCCTCTGCATACCCCTTACGCCTGTAGATGGCCGAAGTCAGCATCCCAGCTAGTCCCGAAAATGCTCGATGGTCGACAAATCTGGAGACAGAGTAGGCCAAGAAAGTGTGGCAACATAATAAAACCATTCCCGAGAAATCCTAGCTACAGTATGTTCGGCCAAGAGTCCATTATCTTACAGAAAATGGCCGCTTGTAGCCTGAATCACGGACAGGATTTCCTGAATGTACCACTGTTCTGTCTATGCCCCTCTCATCATTATTAGGATTGACCAACTGTGTGGTCTGTTCCTCAGACTACAACGCAAGCAATAGGGCAGTGTGCTACTCAACAGTGATCCTTCACATTCTAAAGTAGTGGTCAGGAACAGAACAGGAATTCGTTGATAGTATGGGGAATCGGTCAAAAAATGACTCAAGATTTTTACATTTTTGGATTTGGAACCTCGAAACGTCGAGAAATTCGGGTTTTTTCTGTATGTATGGATGTTAGTGTATTTATGGGGCACGATATTGTTCACCCTGTTTGAAGCTTAATAACCCCCGTACCTTTTGTCGAAAATTTCTGAAATTCCGTAGGGAAGTTTGTATATTAGGAAAGTTGTTGCTATTAAATTTTGGTTAAAGGTCGAGGAAATGGGGAGATAAAGGGGTTAGTGTGTCTATCTCGAGTAAGGTCGGACTTAATGACGATTTTACTCGTTATTAGCATTTACAAGTTTTTATAAAACACATCCCTATTTTCAAAATTGGACTTTTTGCTGTTTTATAATAATTAAAAATGCAAAGTTTTGGTCATAATAAAATATCGTAACAGATGGCGGTACTAAATGTTGCCGGGAAAGTTAAGCAACTCGCTGCTGTTTTTTTTTCATAATAAATTTGAAATATCAAGTTTTCAATATTACTTTCTTAACAATGAAAGACTTCTATATTTAATGAATAAATTTCTTATTTTTATTTACAAAATAGAGCAACAAATAATTATTATTCAGACCAAATATTGATGATGATGATAATAATAATAATAATACAGAATATCATCATCCTTTATTAGCATATTGCACTGATATTATCATTCCTTTTATATTGTGTTCGTTATTATTCTGTTTATCACATTTTATTGAATATTTTAGATACTTAGCACTAAAACAAAATAAAGAATGTTGTTTTTATGTCCAACTCTATTCCACTACTGAAAAATTAATAGCACAAATAACACTACCACTAATACTCTTCCAATTTCAAAGAAAATTTGAAAGAATTTAAACATTTGAATGACAATAGTAGAACTTCAAGCACTGCTTTACTCTGAAGATGGGATAAAAATACTAGAGGCAATGTGTGTTTTGTGTCCTCTGTGACATGAAGTTTTCAGTAAAACAGAATGAAGTTAAATTTCAAAGTACTGTGATTAGCCTTGAGTTATTTTAATATTTAATGTATAAATATTATTACGAAAACACTTATATAAATTTAAATTGCCTTTTCTTATATTAGTCAATGAAAATTTTATAATTTAAAATTTTTTTGCACTGTAATGCTATCTTTAGCTTTATCTGTTGCATTTAGAAAGATTCTACATTTAATGTAAACTAGTTTCTTTAGTTATTTTGCAATTAATTAATATATAATTGACAATTGCCTTTTAAAATTCTCATTACTTATAAATTTTCTAACAAGATGTCATTATTATTATACATATTAATCAATGTTTTTATTAGTATTTTATGATGAAACTGAACTCCGAACTGTAAAATCATTAAGTCAAAAAATATTTTCAAAAAACTTATTTTTTGTAATTTTTACATAGAATATCGGTTCACCTAAACCATATCAGTCAATATGGATATAGACTAAACATAAAAAATACACCAGTCCTATAAGGTCATCAAGATTTAGCGTGGGGTTGATACTCCACCCATATAAAACCACCACAAGTATCTACTTGGACTGTTCTCAAAAAATGAAAACTTTGACTTGGAAGGAGGATATATGGATAGGATCATGGAACTTCAAAGTCTGTATCACATTAGTGTAAGATATGAAGTGATCGGTGAGGCCAGTGGTGAATACAAGGGGGGCTAAAAGAGCTTAAACCCTCCTTATTGACACATACATTTTAATTTATTAATTCAAACTTCAAAATGTTGTTTTTAAAAGCATTTATGACGACAAATATGGTGTTTATAGGACCATCTGCAATACAATCATTGGTCATATTAATAAAATTTACTTATTAATTATTCAAATATTTTTAATTTTTGAATTAGTCTTTCCTTTGAATACTTCTGAATCCACTACTGGCAAAGGCTATGAAATACAACACATTCTGGCAATACAGGAAATCAGATGGATATATGGTTGGAATTTAAAAGATATGGAGAAGGGTATTCATACTAATAACAAACATGAATTTCGAACAAGATTTTTATTTTGGATCTGGATGTAAAGTTTATAAATGAACATACGGATGAATGGAGGATTCAAGGATGGAGGAACCTAACAATAGCAAGGTTGAGACTGAAATTTTAAACGCAAAAACATGTACGTTGGACGTTCAGCGCCACTTTCCTGTAAGCCTAGAAGTTTGACAATGGTGTTTGAATAGTCAGTGGAATCATGCTCGACATTCCAAACACCATTGTCAAACTTCTAGGCTTACAGGAAAATGGTGCTGAATGTCTGATGTACATGTTTTCATGTTTAAAACTTTGGCCTGAACCTCCTAATAGTGAATATACATTTACTGAGAAAGGAAACAGAATAATGAAAAGGGATAAGTTCTACAACACTAAGTAAAATAGAAAGAATGATATCACATTATTGTTGAGAGATTATAGCATAAAGATAGGTGAAGAGTCTTACGTATATGCCAACATAGGAAAACATAACTTACATGAAAGTACAAATGATAATGGAAGCAGAATGATTAGTAGAAAAATCTCTCCTGGACTAATTGTGAACAGTATAAAATTCCACGAAAAAGATTCATAGATAGACTTGTCTTCTGATGGTTGGACAGCAAATATCTCTTATTTATATCAATATATGATCTAAGAACTGAATCTGTCAAGTAAAAAGTTTCAAAGGAGTGAGTGAACAGCAATCATTTCTTAGTGATGTACAAACTCAAAGTAAACCTAGAGAAAGACTACATAAAAAATCCAAGATCAATGTTGAATACTTGAATAATATTTTGTATAAACACTCAAAAAAGATTAAGACAGCACTAATGAAAAAGAGTACAGGAAGAGACATAAATGAGAGATAAAGCTCAATTTGAGCAAAATGTTTGGAAAAAGGCAGACAGAGTAAGATAAATTCTTGATTCAATGATATAAATAGAGATGCTGTGGAAAAGAAAAAGGCAAGAGAAGAATGGCTGAACAGAAAGACAAAAACACAAAGTGATTATGAAAGACTACAAAAGACACTCAAAACTATGTAGGATAAAAAGAAACAATTAAAACAAATGGAATAAAACTAACAGAATACCACAAAGAGAGTGGACTAAATCTATCATTACACAAATGCACAAAATAGGCAATATAATAAATATGAAAATTATCACAGTATACCACTACTACAATCAACATTAGACTACATATTCATATTATGTCAAGAGGTGAAAAAGCCCGAGAGTATGAAAAATCACTACATAATTTGTTTATAGATTTCACTAAAGTTTACAATAGCATCATACACAAAGATACACTGTGGAAAGAATTAAAGATTTTGGAATATCACGTAAAATAATTAAAATGAATAAACTGTGTCTCAAAAATACAGTAATAAGAGTTTTATTCAATGGGAGACAGTTGGAAATGTTTAGATTAACAAGTGGACTTAAACAGGGGGATGCAATGTTGACAATACTTTTCAACTTGGCATTGCAAATAGTAATAAGTATGAGAAAATTTAACACTAAAGTCAACCCAGCTACTAGGATATGCAAATGACGTAAATATAAATGCTCCATTTATTTTATTTTATTTTTTCTTATCAAAGACATTTCTTTTCTTAACAATTAAATCTTTCACTGGAGCAATTTCTAATTTACAGTATTTTAAAATGACAAATTTATAAAATACTTGTACCTTATAATTAACATAATTAATATGTTTTCACACTGGTTAATATATTTTAATATTTCATTATTATTATTATATTATTAACAAATGCACTATGCTGTTATGTTTTTATTGACAAACTTGCACAGTTGACGGCGCAACGTTTTGTTAATTTTCTGAAGTTGTCACATGATATTGTTATTTGTTTACCAAATTAGACTTGAATATTTTATAGTCCCTGATGCTTCTATTTGAATTTTTAATGGAAACTGTTATTTCGGTAATGCTTACAAATGCACAAGCGGTGCTGCATAATACAATTAAATTAAATTAATCTAAATTATAATACTATAAAAAATTTTCAAATAATAAAATATAAAAGAAAGAATTTAACTGTAAGTTAAAAATTTAATATCTTAAATGTTTTCACTCCATTATCAAATGCAAGTTTCTCTGATAATGGAATGAAAGAAACCTCAGAAACACTCAAGATATTAAATTTTTAACTTACGATTCTTGTTTTCTTTATATTTGATTTATTGAATTATTACAGATTTGTTTTAGAAGAAAAAATTTTTATTTTTTAAAATGCAGTTTATATGTAAATGTATATATATTATCATTATTATATAAGTAAAAATAAATTAAGATTGTCTTTTTCACAAATAGAATTTATTTTTTTATAAAGTTTTGTTACAAATAAAAATTACAGAATATAAAATAAATATTAATAATTTTTAGCAATTCACTAAAAATTATTGACAAAATATTTACAAAATGAAATATTTCATTAATAATACATCTTATCTCATAGACTGAACCTGTTCAGCAATATTATAAGTTCCCTTTAACAAACGACAGGCTTCCACAGAAACGGCATCTTTTGGCGGTAAGTAAGAATGTTGTTCTCCTTGATAAACAAAACTAGAGAATAGTTAAGATTTATAACTGAAATTCAAAAATATAAATTTTATAATGATGATGATTGTAGTATTAATGGCATCAGCTGTTCACAAGACCTAGTTCGAATTCAGTTCATAAACCTCGGAAATTTTTCACAAGTGATGTATGTTCCCGACATGTTAGATATCACCTGTCATCACCTGACCTGCCGCACCATGGATCAGGCCAAACCCATAATGTACAGCATAGAAAAAGAGCCCCGATGCCCAAAGGACAGAGTTTAAAACTAAAAATCATCATCATCATCATCATTATACTGTAAATAATTATTTAAAANCCATAAAGAACCTGTTTCTGTTCTTTCTGGCGAGAATAAAAATCAAACTCTTTGTTAAAATTAATTTGATTTGATTATTTTGTGTGTCAGTCTGTTCGCGAAGCCCATTACACCTCGCCACAAATCACCACAATGGAATAGAAAGGAAAAGAATATAAAATAAATATTAATAATTTTTAGCAATTCACTAAAAATTATTGACAAAATATTTACAAAATGAAATATTTCATTAATAATACATCTTATCTCATAGACTGAACCTGTTCAGCAATATTATAAGTTCCCTTTAACAAACGACAGGCTTCCACAGAAACGGCATCTTTTGGCGGTAAGTAAGAATGTTGTTCTCCTTGATAAACAAAACTAGAGAATAGTTAAGATTTATAACTGAAATTCAAAAATATAAATTTTATAATGATGATGATTGTAGTATTAATGGCATCAGCTGTTCACAAGACCTAGTTCGAATTCAGTTCATAAACCTCGGAAATTTTTCACAAGTGATGTATGTTCCCGACATGTTAGATATCACCTGTCATCACCTGACCTGCCGCACCATGGATCAGGCCAAACCCATAATGTACAGCATAGAAAAAGAGCCCCGATGCCCAAAGGACAGAGTTTAAAACTAAAAATCATCATCATCATCATCATCATTATACTGTAAATAATTATTTTAAAAATTTATAATAAAAGAATATATCTGTTATGTAAAACTTTTATTTTTGTTCAATTAAAAAAATAAATTATAATTATTCAGTAAATTCAAATTAGTAAACTTCAACTGAATATAAGTAACATAAAAATTCAATCAATACTTTATACATTTTTTGTCAACTTGTTCTTTTAATTTGTATGTTAGTCCATAATCGGAGACTTGTTTACAAATGCTAATAACTGAGTAATAATCTGACAATTGTTTAGCTTTAATCAGGTTTATGAATGTTTATATTTGCTAATAATTAAAGATAACTTTATGTATATATTTAGTTTGGAGTGAATCTTATCAGAAATATCTCATTAACACTAATAACAATCTTATACTAATCATAAACAATGCATAAACCTCACACACATCTATTCTTCAAATTTTTTCTCTTTGAACTTTCCATTTTAAAATTTCAAATTATTTTCTTCAAATTTAAAATCACTTAATTGCCAATCCAGTGATGTTAGGCACTACAATATTAAATTCTGTATATTCTCTACGTATTGCTCTATACAAATGACTCATAAAAATTTATTAAATAATATATAACTTGTCTTAAACATAAAGAATGATAAGTTTAGTAAAGAAAGAGAAACAACGGATAAGGTTTTGTAGTTGAGATCGTAACAATTTTAACAATAAAGCCACAAGTGTACGTGAACAAAAACCATAATAGCAGAAAATTAATTGTTACTACATCGATTTGATGTTTGTATTAAGGAAGTTATTAAAATTATGGCAAAATCAAGAACGTGTTGTCACCAACTTTATGAGAAGTAATAAACTGATTCAATGCGGAAATATAGTTTAATAACTTTAATAAAAAAATTTACGTCATTTCGTATATCAATACTGCCAAAGAACACTTAATTATAACTCATCCACATAATAAATATCACTTAAAAAACTTTAAAAAATTAAGTTTTAGCAGAATTTTACATAAAGTATTAAAAAGTAAATATNTGTCGGGTTGTGATTGGAAGGATTCGTAAGAAAGCGGATTCCTAGAGAATGGAACGTATCTCTATCTTATAGGGGGGTCGACTGTAATAGATCAGTGATGGCTATCTTCAGAAAGGCTATGGGGCTGAATTTAATAAGTGTCATCAGAGGACCAGAACTTCAAATTTTATAAATCCTAAGTATTTATCTTAGGAATGGAAATAAGAAGACTAAAATTATCATATTCAAACTTTAACATTTATTTTGCAGTAAGTATAAAACAATTTTAAATTATGATGGTGCCTCACACTTTGAATTTAACTCATTTCAGGAGACTGTTCAAAGTCTGAATAAATTTTCATTAGAAATAAAATAATGCAATTTTATTGAATTAATCCATTCCCAGACCCTAAACACTACCATGTCTACTATTAATATGATTTATTAATAATTTATATCTTATATTATTATGTTACATAAATATTATTAATGTATGATCTTAAAATTTGCCAGTATTTAAATGTCAACACAATTCCTTTTTATAGGAGCAGTTATAAAGGCTATGATAATAAAGCTACCAGCTTACCACTCTGAAGGATTACGATTCAATGTTCAGTATCAACCCTGACATCAGAGCAGGGAATCAAGTTCAAGAGATATCAAGGTTCATGAATGAGCTGGCCTGGATATGTCAAGCTCTATCCCTCAACTAGTAGCTTTTCCCATTGTGAGCCTGACTGAACCCATGATAAATGTGGAAAAAAAGGCTATCTTAAGACACAGGATAAAAGAAATTACAGACGTTCCTCAATTTAAAATATTTCACACCTACGACGACTGATGCAAGTGAAGCAAAAGTGTGGAAAAATGGTTAGAATTTGAATTCAAGCTGCTCTACTGATGCATTAATGATCTTTCTTGAGACTTTTTATATATACCATCTTATATCTTGTGTTTTACAGTAGGCCTATACCAATTATGTCTGCAAAATACCCTGCTGTGTCTTAATGAGAAACTTAAGATAATATCTAAGCATGGCAATTATGGCAATTGCTTGTGAGTTTGGGCCATTGCAATCAACAATAGCGCAAACTCACTTTATGTACTGTACAATATATAACATTATGTACCATATAATCTTGCATATAGCATATTTATTTTTATTTATTTACTTTTATTTTCGACTTGTGATTTTTTGACTCATGACATGTTTTTCAGTAAGTTATTCTGAAATTATTGTAATTACAGGATTACAATAAGTGAAATGTACTGTATTTATTAATAATACAAAGTAAAATTAAATGTTGAAATGATCTACAATTAACAATGTATAAAATTTAATATATATCTGAAAAGGAAGCATCTCATTGGTAAGAATTTTATTTAAAGATTAATAAATTGATAGGGACACAGCATTTTATTTTATTATATGAAATTATCTTTACATGTAGCTGTATGTTTAACAGTAATTCATAAAAATAAACTATAAAAGTCTATACACTAGTCCTACATTGTTTTTTTCTCTTTCTGTCCTGTGGACACCTAAGAGGGCCTTTTAATCGTATCCATCACAGGTTCGGCCAGGTCCACAATGGGGGAATGACCAATTGCCAAGAGACGGGGCCCAACATATTTGGGACATTCCACCCTAAAAAAGTTCCTGGGATTATTTGACAGTCAAAATTCAATCCCAGGTTCCCTAAAACAGTAGACCGATGCCTTAACCACCTTGGTCATCCAGCCATCATACCAGTCCTACCGTAAAAAATTTACAGCCTACATCATACATTAAAATTTAAAAAATAAATGTTTAATACAATAAATAAGTGGCAAATTAAATGCTGTTACCATACATTATATTTCTTTATATGTTACAATCTATTCAATATTCTGTTAAATACAGTAGTATAGAAAATTTTTATAATAATGAGTGTAGAATTCTTATATACTCTATCCTATTATACAATATTAAAATCTTTAAAGAGAAATAAATATAAAATTTGATCTCATATAATCCAGGTATAAAAATCAAAACTTTTAATAAACAACCAAAGACATATAGTATTATGACTTACTAATTTATTTAATTTTTTTAATTTTCTCCACCATGTTTCAAAATTATCTTTGAAAAAAATTGAAACCGTTGAAGAAAAGTTAAAAATCTGTAAGGCTGTATAAATATAACAGTATATTATCTGTTATTGATTAGATTATTTTTAAATATTTATGCAGAAAAAATTAACATCAATAGTAAATTTTGTAAAAACAAGCTTTATAAACATTTCTTTAGATATGTTTAATCTGCAGAATATTCTGCAGCAATAAATATAGTTATATTTGCTGTGCAAGGAGAAATATATTATGAAATTAAGTAAACAGAATATAAGTAATTTATTTAACATATTAATGATAGGTAAAATATTACTAATCAAATTCGAACAAGTTTGTGATAATAAACATCGTCGAAAGTTTAAAATTTATTTAGATACTTACTCGTAATCATTACTAAATCTAAAATTAGAAATAAAATTAATAAATGTTCACATATTTAACAATAAAACAAATGTTAGTTGCTTAATTTCTGGATCTGATTCTTAATCGTAGTTTGCGATCAAGTATAAAATTACATATTAAAATAGCGTATTTCATTTTTGAAACGTGCTATTTTAATATATCATTTTAGAAACTGTATTTGCAAACTACGATCAAGAATCGGAACCAAAAATTAAGCAATTATCCAAATTAAGAAAATATCCACCAAACATTGAAAAAACTATTTGTAAAAAGCAGGCAGTATATCTCACATATATCGAAAAAAAATACAGTATGTACTTTGTATTACTTTGTTTACCTGAGCGAAATTGAAAAGAAAAGCTGAATTTTTCATATTTTTATCCAGAAATGTTTCAAACATTATATTGTTTGCTTTCATAATTAAAATAATATTACAAAACAATCTATAAAAAAAGGATACGGTAATCTAAGAACCCAATAGGCCGACTGGGATAACTTGACCGGTTCCGCATTTCCCGGATAAAATATGGGACACGGTAATGCAGCGGGCTGCACTTTTGGATTGAGAGTAACATGTACCGGAGCTTTAGGTGTAACAACGTGAATTCTCATTAGTTGGGCAATTTGCGGTTTGGATGACCTTAAATTTAAATTATTATTATAAAATTATAAATTGTAAAATAAAAAAGAAATGTATTTTTCGTAATTTACTCTATGACCCAAGATTTTTACACTTTTGGACTTGGGATCTTGAAACATTGAGAAATACAGTAGAACTTCGAAAACTCGGCCTAATGTGGACCGAAGGGTGGCCGAGTTTGTGAAAATGCCGGGTTATCGGGAATGGGGTTAAAAAAATAAGTACGAGTGTTTCCTCAGAAAATACTGTACTGTACTTGTATGTATTGTTTACTTGAGAATATAACAGAGAATAAACTGCCCAAATATCCTTAAAGGAAAAGTACGTCCTTTATGAAGGCATAGAGCCTTTACTACATGAAAATGAAAATTAATGAATACACTGTGTACAGTAATTTACCTGATAAGACAGATCTCAGAAAAATACTTTATGAGAGCTTTTATACTTTTATAAAGCTGTCTATAATGAAAATTAATTAACTAAGGATTTTTTTGCCCTGCCAGGATGTGGCCGAGTTATCCGGAGTGCCGGGTTATCGAGAGCCGAGTTTTCGAGGTTCTACTGTACAAACAAATTTGGGATTTGTTTCTGTATACTAGTATATGGATGTTGGTGTGTGTGGGGGGCACATTTTGTTCACCCACTTTGAAGCTTAATAACTCCTATGCTTTTTGTTGAAAATTTCTGAAATTTTGCAGGGAGATTTTTGTATTAGGGGGATTGATGGTACTAAATTTTGGTAGCTAAAGCTTGATGGGATGGGGGAGATAAAGGGGGTTGTGTGTATCTCCAGTAGGATCGGAGTTAATGAGGATTTTACTTATTATTAGCATTTACAATTTTTTTATAAAATCAATTCCTACCCTCAAAATTAAGTGTTTTGCCATTTTATAATAAATAAAAATATAAAAAGTTCTTTTTATGAGGAGTGTTCAAAAAGTATTTGACCTTTATTTTTCCCACATAAACTAATGATGCACGGGAGGTCTCTTTCGGTGGAGTTGTGGAGGGGACAGTCATGCACAGTCCTGAATTTTTTCCTGCCTGCAGGAAGTGTCAGTCGCTGGCAGTCGGCCTAAGAGTGAGGATGTGTAGTGAGCGCTTGTCGGATTCCACTAAGTTGGAAAATGACTGAACAACGTGAGCAGCGATATTGCATCAAATTTTGCCAAAAGCTTGACGATACCCAAGCGGAAACCATTTGCAAGATTCAGCAGGCTTTCGGGGATGATCCTCGAGGCCAAAAAAAGCGCGTCAGGTCCGCAGAAATGTCAAGGTCATGTTGACAGTTTTTTCGACTCCCGTGGAGTGGTGTATCCTCAGTTCGCACCACAAGGCCAAACCATCACAAAGGAGTACTACCAGGAGGTCCTTTGTCATCTTTGTGATGCTGTGCGACACAAATGACCAAATCTGTGGTCAACCAAAACTTGGCCACTCCATCATGATAATGTAGATGCTCGTTCTGCACATCTGATTCAGACTTTTGTCGCCAAACACAACATTCCTGTGGTTCGTCATGCTCCGTACTCTCCCGACATGGCTCTATGTGACTTTTGGCTATTTTCCAAGCTGAAAATGCTGCTAAAAGGAACCCAATTTTAGTCAAAAGAAGACATCATGCGGAATGCGACAGACCGGCTGATGGCCATTCCAAAAGATGCATTCCAGCAGTGTTTCCAGCAATGTCAGGAGCACTGGGAGAAGTGTATACATTACCAAGGAGACTACTTTGAAGGGGATTAGGGTTTTGTACCTCAAAATCAATAAATGTATTTTTGCCGACCAAAGGTCCAATACTTTTTGAACACCCCTCATAATGATGACACTAGCAAATGTTGCTGGAAAAGTTAAACAACTTTTTGCTGAAGTTTCTTCTATTAAATTTTATTTTGTATATTTATATAAAATATTTTATTTTAAATCAATATAATTACAAAAGCATAATAAAGCGTAATGCTTAACAATTATGGAATATAGTTAATTATGTATAAAGTCACTACAAAAATGATTTTTTTATATGGAAACCTTTGACATACATTGTAGTTATGTAGAAGCGTAACGTCAATGAAATGCTACATATTTAACAATGAATTTCAATGTTGGATATGTATTTGAATCCTAATTTTAGTTGTATCTGGTAAAACACAATAAACAACATTATACAATTTATGTTGTAGATGGCTCCTGGTTGTTTGATTACTATGTGATAATTTGTAGTTGGCAATCAATGTGTTAAAAGAATTATCATTTCGTACTTTAAAGTATAGAAGAATTTTGGAAAATCTAACATTAATTTAATAATTAATTGCTACTTTACATTTATATTTATTTTAAACTTGAGAACAGGATAACTCGCTTCCAAAATTACCATTTTTCTTTAATTTTTCTATATTATATAATTACTACTAAGGTTATATAAATACGTAAAATAATAGATTTAACTTACCTGCAAGGACAAGGAAAATATAATGGCATATCATTACCAGTAACTTTATTAGCATTATCCTGTAAATTAATATATAAAAAATGTATTATAAAGATGAGTGAAAGAATCAAATTATCAAAATACACAGAATTATCCCAAAATTCCACATACAATAATAAGAATGCATATTATGAAAATAGAAAAGTCATAAAATTTAATTTTAAATAGAGAACTATGAATACAACTTTTAGAAATGTTTGCGTTATAAACTTCTAACATATTTTCTTTTAAGTAATTGTATAAAACATCCTATTTCTATTTTAAATTTTATTAGTGTTCATTGCTTGTATATAATTTTTTAAATAATAAACTGATATATCATTTAAGTAATGCCAAATGATCTGCCACATTATCGAGCTACGATAAGGCTAACTTTAATAATTAAATATAAAGTAATTTATCTAATTTAATAATTTATATAAAGTAATTTGAGATAGTTGGTCAGGCCACCATCTCACGATAAGTTTAATAATTGTAATAATTAATTTTGAATTTAAAATATCTGGAAAAAAGAATTAGCCTTTTTAAAGCCTGATTATGTGACAGATCATTTGACATTAGTTAAAAATCAGATTGTGGATTCATTGTTTATATACTAATGTATCATTTTTAAAGTAAGAAACTTATTATTTTGTATAATTTTTGCCTCTGTTAACTTATAAACTTTAATAGTAAATTTATAATTTTTAAGCAATAGGTTTTTTTAATTTTGATATTATCGAATATTTAACCACATACTTTTAACCAGTCATGAACAGCAAATGCTTTAATACGATTCATCACTTGTTGAAGCATTGCAGCAGTTAAAGATCAAAGTGTACATTTGCTTCAGCATTTTTTATTTAGTGTTTTATTTAAACCTATCAAAGCAACAAACAATAAAACGTGCAAAAAAAATTTGACAAAAATACTGTACAAAATCAGAGCCACATTAATGATACAACCAAATTGACTTTAGTAGGAACTTTGACTGGACAGAGACCTCATTTTTTTAATGGTGTAATAAAAGATTGGTATGAAGTATACCAATAATGAAGTTAACATATAGTGGCAGTAATACAATTTTAGCAGCAAAAAGTTCAACGTTTAAAGGAAGCAATGAGCTGTATGATTCAATGCAGAAAGATACATTTTCATGAATTCTACATTTAATGTGTGAATTTGATCCATTCTTAAAAGAACATCTGCTTATCTTGGAAATTAAGGTAGAAGAAATGTATCTTACTTATCATTTTGTAAATAACTTACAGAAATGATGATAAGAAAGGATGTATATCTGGTTATGTATGTTGTTATATATTAGTAATACCAAACAATTAATGAATTTTTATCGGACTACACTAAGGCCAATTAATTTCTGAAACTGGCATAATTAAATTTGAAATAAAGCATATAAGGAAGTGACATATTTTTCCTTAACAAATACACCAGATTACTATTAATCAAGAACAGTAAAAAAAAATCTATTTTGATTTCTGAAGCTATAGAAAAACTTAAACTATTCTGTACAAACATTTCTTACATAAATCAAAGTAATTTGAAAGCACATACTTTTACGAGTCCGGAACTAGTCGCTCTTAATACACGATCAGGTCCAGAACACATAAAGCGATGGCCTCTCGGGCATTCGTACTCCACTCCAATAAATATCTTCACAGTGAACTGTGATCCATCTGTATTTAGAAAAACATTATCATTAGTTACAAAATATTTCACATAACCTAATTTTTAACTCTATAAACCTTTCCCTCCTTTCTTGCCCTTCAATCCTGTGGATCTCTTTCCTTCCCAAAGAGTTGGCCAACGTTCTCGTTGTTCTAACTTAACGGTGACGTCCCAAGGAAGAAGGAAGTTTGTAGCAGGAATGAAACCTGGTTGGTCCTGGATCCCTGTAATAACGGATAAACATTAAAATTAATAACTTGTAGATGTTTACGTTACTTTCAAATAATAATAATAATAATACTTTACCAATATTGTGAGAATACAGACTGGACGGTCCGAGACAAACCAGTGACCAAGAAGAGAACTTTGGTAATAATCCCGAAGGACTCTCCGAATTAATCATTCCTGGAAGATATTCAGTAGTGGATGGTTGACGGATTAATGGTTTTTCGGCTGAAAGGAATAATCATAAAATTAAGTAAATATCATATTCTATTATAATTTTATATAATTCTTTCAATTTTTTATATTATTTTATATATATTATTGAAAATTAGAACACAGTAATTTATCTAATCAGTATATTTGATTCATTCATTTCATTTATAATACAGTCGACCCCCCTATAATTACGGTCCCTATAGTTACGATTCCTATAAAACTACGAAAAAATTGCTACCGGTATCCGTAAAAAATAGTAAAAGTTCCCTATAAACACCTCAAACGTCATCGGGAAGCCGAACTACTTTCCCGCCGTCCGTAGAGCCACGCTACGGAGAGATTTCTATCGTCTGGACAGTATTATATAAATTATATATAAATTAGGTACTGTACATATAATTATATATTAACTTATTGTAACTTTGTTATAATTAAATATATAATTTCCGCCGTCTAGCGTGGCGCCACGCTACGGAGATTTTTACGCTAACTATCGTCTGTCAGTATGTAAATTAGGTACCGTAAGTCTAATACAGTACTGTAATTTTATACATTTCTTGTGAAAGAAACATTTCTTATTCAACGGCGATTAAAATTATTTATATTAATGATGTCTCCGAAGTTCTAGAAGTTTTCACAGAAAAATAAGTTGTTAGAAATCGGCCGCTCTTTGCTGAGCTGTTCCGCGACGAAAACAATGTTGAGCAATGGCAATGTCGAATGGTGACACTCGGTAAGTAATCCTACAATTTTTTGTTTATAGCGTAGTTTATACGGATTATTCCCAAAAAATATATACGTATTTTGGAAATGTTGAGTCGGATTACTCTAGAATCGATTAATTTTATGGAAGAAAATCTTTCAAACAGCCGTAGTCCGTAAACGTGACACGTGTCAGGTTGTGATTGGAAGGATTCGTAAGAAAGCGGATTCCTAGAGAATGGAACGTATCTCTATCTTATAGGGGGGTCGACTGTAATAGATCAGTGATGGCTATCTTCAGAAAGGCTATGGGGCTGAATTTAATAAGTGTCATCAGAGGACCAGAACTTCAAATTTTATAAATCCTAAGTATTTATCTTAGGAATGGAAATAAGAAGACTAAAATTATCATATTCAAACTTTAACATTTATTTTGCAGTAAGTATAAAACAATTTTAAATTATGATGGTGCCTCACACTTTGAATTTAACTCATTTCAGGAGACTGTTCAAAGTCTGAATAAATTTTCATTAGAAATAAAATAATGCAATTTTATTGAATTAATCCATTCCCAGACCCTAAACACTACCATGTCAATAAACAGCAAATACACATAATTCAAGGTAAATATAATGCAATTAAATGCCATAAATAATAAATTAAAACACAAAAAGAATAATCAAAATATGTAAGTCCTATATAATTAAAATGTAATTGCTTTTACTGGTCGCACATCATAAATTTCAGCATCTTAAGCACCATCACCAGATCTGCCACACTTATGTTTTGTGATAAATTTTGTTTTTATATCAATTGTCAATACTACAATTTCCCTCTTAAGTTCTGTTGCTTCCACACTCTTCTTGATGCTGTGGTTAGTAGATAGGGGTTATATATATATAAGAACAAATGCCAAAACTAAAGCAAAAGAAAGTACTGAAAACACACAAGTGTAACATGTGCATATACACATTGAGCATATTTTTTACTGAACTTAAAATTCAAGTATAAAAGCATCATTCAAACTCAGGATTAAATTTCTCTCAAATTTAGCATTTAAACTCTGGAAAATTCAAAGTAAAAGGTACCACTGGATTACCAGTTTGTGTTATTCTTAATGAAAAAATTGTCTCTAAATTTTTTTACAAAGCATTTGAAGTATATTTCCATTTCTCAATCAGTACATAAGAAATTAAATTGCAACTATTCGTTTCTGGCTTTTAAGACAATTTTGACTTTTTTCAGCACTGATAAATAGATATGTGTAATACAAACAACGTCGTTAATGTAGTATATAAGACTCATTATCATATTCATATTTCTCAGCAATGAAATCAATACTGTTGGGAATTGATAATCTTGTTTTGTGTTTATATATATTATGTATCTATTTATATTTAATAAACAGTAATAAATTAATTGTATTTATATACAGATTCCTTCAAAATGAATGCTATCATTTTAAATTACTGTAATGATTAAAGCCAAATGATTACCAGATTATATTAATATGATATTAATTTTTATCTGAGGAGTATGCAATGTACAGTTTCATCTCCCACCTGCATTCAAATGTCTCATCTACTATCTCTAGGAAGCAACATAAACAAAAATGGCAACTCGCAACAGAGAAGACATTTTGTTCTGCAATTTGTAAAGTTGGAATCACTTGTCATGTAACATGAGTAATCTGCAGGAGTCATAGAATTGTGGCTGCATGGGAGGAGTGACAACAGATATGTGCATGTGTAGAATTTGAGTATTAGTTGAATGTGTGCCATGTGACATGAAGTGCACTTATTGAGAATTGAAATGATTAAATGTGAAAGTTGGACAGTTTTCCAATGTTATAACGTACATTACAATATTATTAGATAATAATTAACATAATTACAATAATTTAAAATAGTAGCATTCTTTTTTGGAAAACTATGTACTAATATGATCTACATTAAATGTATAATTTATAAGCTTTAAACTATACTGAAAAACCTTTTACTGCAGGAATAAAATCACTTCCTTCATCAATACTGATAATAACTTCACTGTCTGCATCATCTTTTTCATTTTGATCCTGACTTAAATGATGCTCATCATCTTCGCCTGGTGAATTATCAGAAGTTTCTGTTTGTCCTAAGAAAGAAATGAAATTCTAGAATGCACGATACCTAAGATTTTATCAAGTTTCTTAAAATTATTTTTACCAAACGATAAAGATACTCCCGAAGTACTTCCAGTCTGATTTGTTTCTATTCCACTTTCTTTATCTTTATCATCTTCATCATCTGATTTACTCAGACTGGTTATATCGTCAGATTGCGAATCAGTAATGGCTGCTTGAAAAATGCGAAAATCAATTCTTTCTAAATCTCCACAGCAATCCTTATGAAGTGACACATAAAACTCGTGATTTGCTGCCTGTATCAATAAATAAACAAATTAACATAAAGAAGTTACTTTACAAGGATGCAATTTATGTATACCAAGTCTTCCAGAAAGAATTCTGTCATTTTAAATTATTGTAATTATGTTAATTATTAACCAAGAATGCTGCAATGTATGTCATAACATTAAAGAACTGTCCTACTTTCACATTTGCCCATTACAATTTCTCAATGCATGCACCTCATGTCATACAGCACACATCTGACCGATACCCAAATTCTTCCTATGCTCACTACAGCATATCCACCGTCACTCCACCTACAGTAGTCACAGTTCTATTGCTTCTGCAGAATACTATTATTACACAAAATGTCTTTTCTGTCATGGAGTCACCATTTTCATTTAACGTGCTTCCTAGATGTAGTAGACAAGGAGATGTTCGATTGAAGATGGGAGATGAAACTCAGATGATTACTCAATTGATTGGTGTATGTCATATACTTCTCAGATAATAATTAACATAATTAGAATAATTTAAAATGGTAGCATTTGTTTTGAAAGACCCTATATAAAGTAATCAATAAAAAAAAACAACAAACCTTGATAGTAAAAGGATCATCTCTACTTGCTTGTCTTCTGCCACAATCACAGGCCGAAATTAATTTTATCTGACTGCAATGAGGCATAATTGGTAAAGATCGACTGCTATCATCTTCTTTTGTTTCAAGGACACGATGTGCCTATAATTATTAGTACACTGCATTATAAAACTCAATTGTAATGATCTAAATTGTTACAAATTTCAAATACATGGTTTCTATTAGTATTTAATAATCTTATTCAATCAAATTTTGTCAATTATATACATATATTTCAGTAAACATGTAGCATCAGAACCTTCCAATATGATGGCCAAATAGCCAAACAGTTAGGGTGGCAGCCTACCACTCTGAAGAGACCTGGGATTGAATCCAGACAGGTCAAAAAACCCCCAGAATTTTTTGGGAGGTGGTCCACCCGAATATGTTGGCCACCATCCCTCACCACCCAGCTGCTCTATTTTAAAACTGGCTGAATCCATAATAGATTTGCTAAAAAGATCTTCTTAGTGTCCCAGGGCAGAAAAAGTTAAAACAACTTACAATCATTTAAACTTGTGTGAAATTTGAACTGTTTGGGCTTTTTTTTTTTTTTGCCCTTTCTGTCCAGTTGGCACTAAGAAGACCTTCTAATCATATCCCCACGTGCCCAGCCGGATGGCAAGGGATGAGGCCCAATGAATCCAAAGAAAATGTCTTAGATGTCTTGGCTATCTGGCTGTCTAAATGTTTGGATTAAGAAGTTGTACATTTTCATGTTATTTGCATAATTTAAAAAAGAAAATAATAAATATCTCTTCCTGCTGCTGTTAGAGATCTAGTTCAAGTCCAGGTTGAACCTACAAAAATTTCATGGCTATTTGACTAGAATATATTAGGCCTGTCCTTCATTACTAACAGTCACTCTCATTGTAAACTTAGTTAAACCCATAATCATTAAAAAAATCTTATTACCCACAGAATAAAAAGGTCAAAAGGTTGTTATTATTATTATTATTATAAATTTCTAAATGCTAAAAATTTAGAACTCAAGCATTAAAATGGCTTCTTTAAAAATGACATAGCATGTGGTTCTAAGAATTATTATTGAATAAAATAATTATACGAACGTTTTAGGAAGAAATTAAGAGCATCTTAAATAATTTCCAAATTTAATGTATTCTAATATTAGAAGATTGCACATTTAAGAAAAAAAATGAAAAAATTATATACTTTTAAGGTACAAAACCATACGAAATTTGCTGATTTTGAATATAATTCTATAGTCAACAGTATATAACTATTCCATTGTGTTTTTTATTTCTACAGTCTATTTTGATAGTATATACACACAGCGGCCAACTGCACTTAGCTCTTCTAGACCCTTACTGCGGCTCCTGTATATTGGATCTTTATCCCTTATTACTTAGAGGATAGGCCCAATTTTGGTGCTGTTCCTTCTCTATATAAATTATATAGTATGTGGATTATACATAAAATATTAGGTCAGTCCATAAGTTCGTGCGTATTTTATGACCTTGTTTTGCTGTTAAAAATGCCAGTGTAATGTGATACTTTTTACACTGAAGTTTTAAATTGGATCTCATTCATATAATACTGTTCAGAATTGGGAACATTTCAGTTGTTTATTTTCGTTAAAATGGAAGTAACAGATGAATATAAGAGACATGTTTTATACTTTTNTTTACTACCTCAACCATCTGTATTTTAATATTATCTGCACTAACAATATTGTAATACAGTAGAGCAGTGTTTTTCAACCTTCTTGAATACGCGACCCCTTTACAAGTTAAAAAATTCTGGCGACCCCCCCAGGGCCATATTAAAACTATATCTGTGATTTTAAAAACTATGTATTTAATTTTCTTTCTTTAAATATCGATCGAAAAACCAATTGTACTGTAAAATAAACAGGCACAGCCTTCTCACTGAAATTCTAGTTTTTTTTATTGTAGTGTAGGACTTACAAACACTTGTTTTTTTCTTTAACCCGCGACCCCCCGTGTAAGGCTTTGCGACCCCCCTGGGGGTCGCAACCCACAGGTTGAAAAACACTGCAGTAGAGCATCGCTTATCCGACTCAATTGGGACTAGGGTTAGCCGGATAACTGAAAAAACGGATAACCGAAAAGTATGAAAAAATACATTATTAGTATAGTATATTATTATATCCCATGTAATTAGTATATTAGTATATTGCTATTAACCTACTTCGCATTTAATTTTCATCGATGTTAAGTCTAACAAAAAAATTTTTTTTAAAATAATAATCGTCTCTATTGTGTCGTTAAAAATTATTTTTAAATTATTTTATTGATCACAAAACAAACAACCACTCATAATTAGAAAATTAAGCCTCGTTTAAATACTGGCATCCCTTTCATGGTCGAGCCAGTGTTGCCAGCTAAAACACCAAAAATTTAACGAAAATAATATTAAAGTAGCCAAGACATACCCAAATATTATAGCGCCGCATCACCAGCGGACATTTGAATTTGCCGACTAGAACGCGGTCGGTTAACCGATGTGACGGTTAATCGGGGGTCGAATAATCGATGCTCTACTGTAAATATATTTTATACACTGTTTTAATTTTATTAAGTCTTTGAAGACTTAATAAAATTAAAACAGTGTATAAAATATATTCAAACTCTTCTATTTTAAAATAAATATTTTTATATATTTGAATCCACAAAACTGAAATGCATTTATTTTTTTTCAGAAAAGATGTCTTATGATAATTTTTTATAATATAGAATTTGATTATAATTGTTTGGCCATTTTCATCCACTCGAAATGGATCTTACAAATTAGTAAAATCATTAGAGTACATAAAAGTGTGAAATGCTAATTTGTTGACATTCGATTCCTATCAATGCCATGTCACTAATCATGTCATGAAGCACGGGAAGCGAGGCCACGCATTAAGCACATGGTAAATTATTTCAACGAGCACTGAAAAGCTCACAATTTGCCACTTTGCAAAGTGATTAGCAACGCAGCATCAACTGGAATCGAATACCAACAAATTAGCATTTCACACATTCTATTTGCATCATTTGTGTATGCAGGATGTCCTTTTGTACCGAATCTGTCCTGCTCTACAACTTTGTAATTGATCTCTTTTTGTACTGCACATCGTTTTCAAAACAGAAACACTAACTTCTGAATTTTATCACTAGGGGTCCTGCAAGCAGTCTCATCTTGTAACACACAGTCACTTTAACTATACATCATGTTTGTAATTGTATTTCTTAACATTCTTCAGTTATGTGAGTGTATAAGGACTTTACAGCATCCCATATATAAAAATTAATATAAAATATATAAATTAAATAATTTATTGAAATAGATTTCATTTAATAGATAGAATAAAAATTATTTTTTAACTGAAAATTTTAGAAACTCTTTAAGAACAATGCATATAGATGACAAAATTATGATAACGATAAGCACTGACGATGAACTGAACCAATCGGGTTTGTTCTTATTCACCCAGTTGTCGAAGCTTGGGTTTCCCTTTGTTTCTTATGCATTAATCTTTTGTGGCAAACAAGTGGTCGTCATTAAAAAGCCAATTAGTCAGACTAGGTATTTATACTTGTTGCCATCTTAAATTTGATATATGGTTGTGCGCAAACAGATTTAAACATTAGATTTTATTCAGAATTAAGTAAACACAGTAAAGCCTTGATTTCACATGATCAGAAAACAAGCAGAAAACAGACACGGGCAAATCAATAGAATCGGTTTCAATTAATTTTTGTTTACTTCTTTTTTCCACTGTAATGTGAGCAAAATTAAGTGAATTATAGTGCTATCTGTAATCATCTGTTTATAGATGTAAAAAACAAAAATAAATGATGTTGCCATTGTTAATGCATTGTCACTACTGTTTTATGATTCCCTATTGTGGTTCTCAACCATTCTGAAGCCATGGAACATTATTTATATACTTTCTATTTTGGAAACCTATCATCAATATATTCAAAAATCAATAAGTAATTCCATGTTTAATATTCTCGCATAAAGCAATAAACTAATAAACTTTACTCTATTGAACGACATAGTAAACTTTGAATTGTCTACAAATAAAGTAATATACATGTACATTTGAACAAATTTAAAGTAAAAACCTACAAGCCTATACTATTTTCAAAACAACCAAAAAGTATGCACTTTGTGAAGAAATTAATAAATATTTTTTACCCTTCTGAAAATCGTACGTCGATGTCTAATGCGGTTCTCAGACTATTGTGAATGGAGCTACTTCTCGATTCTTTGGGCTCACTTAAAAACCAATTATACAATTTATTGGAAATTTCAAACCAGGTCTTTACTGATGGCAACTGTAAATAAATTTAAACAAAGTAATTTATTTTCAAAAACTTTTGAATAAAATCTCTAAAATAATAAATTCTTTATATATAAAATATAAAATAAGAATATAAAATGTTAAGGATAAAAATTCATCATCTCAAACAAATTACGTTAATGAAGTAATATACTCAATTGTGGAAAACAAACAGCAAAAAATACTGCCTTTGAAAAGCAATTTCATAATTAGTATGTCATTTCAACAAGAAAAATATATATTTACACTCTTTCCAACCTGTGAGCACTAAGCAGACTCTTTTGATTGTGCCCATTGTTGCCGGTTAAGCTCTCAATGGGGCAACTGTTGAAACGTGGAATTCAAAACATTTGAGTCGAACCTCATGAAACTTTCTGAGAATCCGGTCTGGATTCAAATCTAGATCCCTCACAACATTGGTTCTAAACATGTAGTCTGCAGATCAGTGGTGGTCCATGAACATGTGCCAGATGGTTCATAGACCAATCTAGTCATTTTTCTAAAATGTAATTACATACCGTTTAGCCAAAGGAACACAATATACTGTATTTAAAGCTCGATTAACACTGTTGTACGAAGCACTATGAACAAATGCTAACAAACAGAAATGCCATTAGCACCTCATTAGGAAACACTAATCGAGTTAGAGTGGTGAGAAAGCTACTGTAAATATATTTTATACACTGTTTTAATTTTATTAAGTCTTTGAAGACTTAATAAAATTAAAACAGTGTATAAAATATATTCAAACTCTTCTATTTTAAAATAAATATTTTTATATATTTGAATCCACAAAACTGAAATGCATTTATTTTTTTTCAGAAAAGATGTCTTATGATAATTTTTTATAATATAGAATTTGATTATAATTGTTTGGCCATTTTCATCCACTCGAAATGGATCTTACAAATTAGTAAAATCATTAGAGTACATAAAAGTGTGAAATGCTAATTTGTTGACATTCGATTCCTATCAATGCCATGTCACTAATCATGTCATGAAGCACGGGAAGCGAGGCCACGCATTAAGCACATGGTAAATTATTTCAACGAGCACTGAAAAGCTCACAATTTGCCACATTGCAAAGTGATTAGCAACGCAGCATCAACTGGAATCGAATACCAACAAATTAGCATTTCACACATTCTATTTGCATCATTTGTGTATGCAGGATGTCCTTTTGTACCGAATCTGTCCTGCTCTACAACTTTGTAATTGATCTCTTTTTGTACTGCACATCGTTTTCAAAACAGAAACACTAACTTCTGAATTTTATCACTAGGGGTCCTGCAAGCAGTCTCATCTTGTAACACACAGTCACTTTAACTATACATCATGTTTGTAATTGTATTTCTTAACATTCTTCAGTTATGTGAGTGTATAAGGACTTTACAGCATCCCATATATAAAAATTAATATAAAATATATAAATTAAATAATTTATTGAAATAGATTTCATTTAATAGATAGAATAAAAATTATTTTTTAACTGAAAATTTTAGAAACTCTTTAAGAACAATGCATATAGATGACAAAATTATGATAACGATAAGCACTGACGATGAACTGAACCAATCGGGTTTGTTCTTATTCACCCAGTTGTCGAAGCTTGGGTTTCCCTTTGTTTCTTATGCATTAATCTTTTGTGGCAAACAAGTGGTCGTCATTAAAAAGCCAATTAGTCAGACTAGGTATTTATACTTGTTGCCATCTTAAATTTGATATATGGTTGTGCGCAAACAGATTTAAACATTAGATTTTATTCAGAATTAAGTAAACACAGTAAAGCCTTGATTTCACATGATCAGAAAACAAGCAGAAAACAGACACGGGCAAATCAATAGAATCGGTTTCAATTAATTTTTGTTTACTTCTTTTTTCCACTGTAATGTGAGCAAAATTAAGTGAATTATAGTGCTATCTGTAATCATCTGTTTATAGATGTAAAAAACAAAAATAAATGATGTTGCCATTGTTAATGCATTGTCACTACTGTTTTATGATTCCCTATTGTGGTTCTCAACCATTCTGAAGCCATGGAACATTATTTATATACTTTCTATTTTGGAAACCTATCATCAATATATTCAAAAATCAATAAGTAATTCCATGTTTAATATTCTCGCATAAAGCAATAAACTAATAAACTTTACTCTATTGAACGACATAGTAAACTTTGAATTGTCTACAAATAAAGTAATATACATGTACATTTGAACAAATTTAAAGTAAAAACCTACAAGCCTATACTATTTTCAAAACAACCAAAAAGTATGCACTTTGTGAAGAAATTAATAAATATTTTTTACCCTTCTGAAAATCGTACGTCGATGTCTAATGCGGTTCTCAGACTATTGTGAATGGAGCTACTTCTCGATTCTTTGGGCTCACTTAAAAACCAATTATACAATTTATTGGAAATTTCAAACCAGGTCTTTACTGATGGCAACTGTAAATAAATTTAAACAAAGTAATTTATTTTCAAAAACTTTTGAATAAAATCTCTAAAATAATAAATTCTTTATATATAAAATATAAAATAAGAATATAAAATGTTAAGGATAAAAATTCATCATCTCAAACAAATTACGTTAATGAAGTAATATACTCAATTGTGGAAAACAAACAGCAAAAAATACTGCCTTTGAAAAGCAATTTCATAATTAGTATGTCATTTCAACAAGAAAAATATATATTTACACTCTTTCCAACCTGTGAGCACTAAGCAGACTCTTTTGATTGTGCCCATTGTTGCCGGTTAAGCTCTCAATGGGGCAACTGTTGAAACGTGGAATTCAAAACATTTGAGTCGAACCTCATGAAACTTTCTGAGAATCCGGTCTGGATTCAAATCTAGATCCCTCACAACATTGGTTCTAAACATATAGTCTGCAGATCAGTGGTGGTCCATGAACATGTGCCAGATGGTTCATAGACCAATCTAGTCATTTTTCTAAAATGTAATTACATACCGTTTAGCCAAAGGAACACAATATACTGTATTTAAAGCTCGATTAACACTGTTGTACGAAGCACTATGAACAAATGCTAACAAACAGAAATGCCATTAGCACCTCATTAGGAAACACTAATCGAGTTAGAGTGGTGAGAAAGGTTTTGTTTACACTCACTAATTTTAAGGAAAATATTAATTGGTTGAATGATGTTCAGTAAAAGTTGAGATACTTTAAACTCCTAACGAACCAAACGAACTGGTCGAACAGCTGCCAAAAGGGCACAAATTGGCAGTTTGTTTGCCAATATGAACCTAGTTTAAACACCACTTATCTCTTAGGTTACCAGATACACAAAATCCTTTGACATGCATCTAAGGTAATTTTTAAAGGAAAAGAAATGAAAAAGGACATGGACATTAAGTGATTCTGCAGTTTTCTTTGGAAAACTTGCACCAGGAAGCTGATATCTTTACTGTTTCGGTTATCCAATTGTCAAAACCTGTCCAATATTCTTAATTACTAATCCAATATTTTTTGTTATAATCTCCTGAAGGAAATGTTAATTGTTACAACAAAGAAAAAATTATTAAACATTTATATAAAGTCATTTCCAACAATTTAGTATATATAATTATTTAGATTCCTCAATGTACATTGTTAGATTGAATCACAAAAATATTTTATTTATTTTAATGAATAATGATTGATTAATAGACTGGTTAATGCGTGACGTTAGTATATTTTAGGTTACTAACCAGTCTGCAATTAAAATACACAGGAATATCAATACAATCTGAAATTATATTTTTCGCAAATAAGCATGAAGCAATTTGATAAAAAGTCTGTAAAATAATTTTGTGTTAAGGCTGGATTTAAGGTCGCTAGCCATTGCCGAGACCGAGAAAACACCATCCACTTTATAGTCAAAGTCACAATGTTCAACTCTAGTGTTGTGTTGCCAGACCAGAAGTCCGCATCTATAGTTCAAAGTTTAGTAGAGTGGAAGACGGTAAACATAGCAGAACCCTGCAAACTATGCCAATGCAGCAATATTCTGCCATTGAATTATAAATCGACCCTTAGCTTCTGCTCTGAAAACTAAGTTCAAATCCGGATCAAAATGTCAGTAACTTTTAAGACAGAAGACAGAAAGTGTGCTAAAAACATTAGAAATTATTCGTGAAAGATCTTTTTTTCTATTATTTTATGTAAGAAATGTATCAAACTTGATATTATTTTTATTTTAGATTATTAAAATAAAAAATACTTCAAAATAAGCAGGAATTGGATGACGTCCAACATTATCGTCAAATCCTTTAGTAAGAGCCATTTGAATGTGTTGCCAGAGGAATGAATGAAAACTGTGATCGCTTGTACTTTCTTCCGATAAAAATGACAGTTTTCCACTTCCGTTTCCTACAGCATTGACGTTCTGCATGCTTCCACGACGACTCAGTGCATAGCTTTTTAATCTTAAAGAGGAGGTATCTGAAGTATCAAAATAAATTTGTCATAAAATAAAATATATCATTATATATACAGCTACTGCCATAAAAATTAGTGCACCATGAAGGAATTAGTTGTATTGCTGCAAAACTTGGCATGCAGCTAAGTCTCAAGCAGATATGGAAATGATTAGAGTTATTGCTTGACAGCTCGTTGCATAATGACAGCAGAGGGCATTAAAGTGCATCCGCCTTGGCCTATAAAAAAGCATGCAAAGGCATCTTGTCTGTAATTTGCCAGTTGCAGAGGGATACTGTATCACTAGAGATGCCTTTATGTCACAATTGAAAACTGTATGAACAGCTAACTGAGTTTGAGAAAGGAAGGATCATTGGCTTGAGAGAAGCCAGATGGTCATCTTGCTGAATAGCCCACCACCAAGGCCATTCTGACAACGCTTTGAAGAACTGTTAGGACCAGTGGACAAAAGAGTGTGTGCACACACTGTGCCCAGGCTCAGGATGAAATTGGCAGACCACTAGTCCTCTAACAAGCATGCACACAGCCAACTGTATTGTTGTCTGTCATCTGAACACAAGTGGTACCATCATTACAGGCCCCCATGTCTGTACATATCATTTCTAGGTGCCTGGGTGAGGAACATTTGGTATTGCAGCGGCCATTACATGTACTGCTATTAACCATCACCCACCATTGCCTCTGGAATGGTGTCACTCTTGATGGGATTTAACCGCAACAGAATAGAACTGAGTCACCCAAAGCAAAAAATTCAGATTCAGTTTGGGCACCAATGACAGCAATTTTTGTGTCTGAAGGCCCTGTGGTGAACACCTCAGAGCGGTATACCACACCCACAGTTGGTTTGATTGTCTGGGATGCCATCATGCATGACAGCTGGTTACCGCTAGTAGTAATCCAAGAGACCATGACAGGCCCAGTGATATGTTAGTGGCATCCTGAAGCAACATGTGTTGCCTCTTGGACAATAATTGGCCACACATTGCAAATGTATCAAATGACTGCTTTCGCCATATTGCCACACTTCCTTGGCCTGCCTGGTCATCTGATTTGTCACTAATCAAACATGTCTGGGATTATCTGGGATACCAAGCTGGACAGCCTAAGAGTCTGGCAAACTAGAGGACCACTTGAAACAACTGTGGACTGAGACACTGCAGGACACCATACAGCACCCATATGCCTCCATGGCCATATTATGTCATATATTCACATTAGAGGTGGCCCAACAGGGTACTAGAATTTCCTTTCATTTGTAGTTTTTCCTGCAATAAATGGTCCTTTTGCTTTCATTTTGTAATCACTTACTTATATCACCATATAGTTTTAGTATTATACTCACGCCAAGTAATAGTAGTATATATGGAGTCTTTATTCATAACAACCTCCAAAATGTGCAACACACCCTTTCTGGAACTGCCCAACATATGGATCGCCTTATATAAACGGTTAAACAGCGATTTACATCATCTGTCACATTGTTGATGTGGGCCAGCAACACGCATGTGCCATATTACATCATACATATTCGAAATTTATAGCCATTTCATATCAAGTTTATTCCAAAAGCGTTTTATTTAAATTTATATGCGTTCTTTTCCATTTCAAATGTATATGTTAACTTAAAAAGCTTTTTATTTCGCCTAAGGACAACGAAAATATATTTGTTGAAAGCGCTCGAAAAGAAAACTATTAATAACGCCGTACACAGTGAAAATTTATTTTACTACTTATATCACCATTACACTCACATACACAATTTCATTTAATTCTGACAACACCTTTTTGGTGTACCAATTTTTATGGCAACAACAGTATTTATTAAGTAAAATTTATAGAAAAAATCTTACCAGATTCTTTAGAAATTGAACAAAAATCTCTCAGCTGTGATATAAAAAATCCAACAGGATCCTCTATAACCGGTTGCGATGTGGAAACGTAAACAAATTCTTGATTGGCAGGCACAGCAAATAAGGAATTGCCACTAACATTAATATAAAAAAATTCAAATTTTATCTTACTAAATATATTTATTCTATTTAATACTTAAATTATTAATACAGTACAATTCATTTATTGTAACTACATAAAGGGCAACAACAAAATGGCCACTTGGCAATATTTTATTAAAGTGACAATAAAACCCTAGTCTGCTTATTTCAATATTCAATGTGAAATTGAATCATAAAGCATATTTTGTGATTCAATTTCACGCATAGTTGCATTGTAATAAATACGATTGTGAAATTAATAGAAATAACATAAAAGTACTGTATAAAGAAAATAATATAATTACATGTCAAGTTAAAGAATGCTTCAGTATACTAAAATATGTAAATAATATAAATTTAATTAGTGGATCGTCATTACACGCATGCTGGAATAGATTTGTACGATATAAAAGCACCAATGTAAAACGAACATTGTTATCCACCGACAAGGCCAAAGAAAGAAGGCGAAATTAAGCATTCTTTTCTCATCTCATTTTAGTCTTATCCCACTTAATGTTATCACTTAATTATTGTTACCATTATGGGCAAGTTCCAAAGTGATTACAACAAGCAGATTATACTGTACACACAAATAATTATACCTACCTAATATTAGTAATAACTCTACTTTTCCTCAAAATACGATAGATTTGATCTTCTAATGCATGTTCTAACTTCTTTATAGGAGAAATTTTCTGAAATAATTTTTATCAAATAATTATAAATACAAAAATCTAAATGATTATTTTACACTATTAAAATTAAATGAATGAAATTCGTGTAATAAAATATTTTGAATATATTCATTATACAGTAGTCTTGATTATGTGAGATAACTTAAATTGCGAAGTACCTTGGATAATCAAAATCGCGGATAACACTGGAAAGTTATTAAATAAATCAGATTTGTATGCATTAATGTGTGTGATATATTCTAATTATAGATTAGGGCTCTTTATTGATCATAACGACTTTTAAATTATAAAACTGCAACTTATAGTCTCTTTTGAATGCTACATATTGCACGCTTAAGATTCACAAAATTAATTGTACTTACTACATTCTCTCAACTTTATTGACAAAGTTCTCTTCCGCAGTTTATCTCAGTTAAATGGGTATAAGATAATCAAAACTATGTGCCAGCTTATTTTGGTTTATAAGAGCACTATATTGATGTCAACGTAAGTTAAATGTAAATAAACTGATACAGTATCTATTCAGCGACATCTTTAAAATAATAAATTTTTTGGTAGTTTGTAGAATATATTGCTGATTTTAATCTACAAGAGCATGCTCTTATATGTGCGGAAATACGGTAAGCTTAATCGTAGCTTAACAGCGATTACGTGGTTATTACACAATAGTTATGCTTATTTATCTTGAAATTTTGCTCCCAATTGCTTTTCTTATTTCAAGATTTATAATTTTGGTTATTATTATTCTTTTTATGCAACTTATTATAACAACATTTCATGCACTGATAATAATTCATTAAAAACCATTTTTATTGTTTAAGGAATTCATGGCAAAATTGTAATTAAATGAATAAAATATACTGAAATTTCTTTGGAGAATTATTTTTTCCAAAATTAAAACTTAATTCTTTTAAAAGAAACACTTTAATTCTAATTATAAAGCAGTAATTTTCTCAGTATAAAAAAAATTGAATTGATAAAATTTAAATTTAATAGTTTAATAATTTAAAAAATAATATGCATCAGGAGAAATGTTTTTTTAAAACAATTAAACAGAAATATTAGAAATTGTTTTTTTGGGTCATATCTAAAACAAATAATGTATAGGACACCTACAGTTTATGGACCAGATTAAGGTACTTAATGAAAAATCAACCAGAATAGATATTGAGGGATGGTTTTTGCATCATTTACAGCAACTCAAAAAGTTTTACTCTGTTGCAGGCAATGTTTAGTGAACACTATTTCATGACGAAGTTTTCGGACTATTCTTCTTTCTGGTAAAATGGCAAAAGCTGACAATAGCCAGATGACTGATGGCTGAAAACTGACAAATACTTTGGAATTGTTTGGTATTCTTTAGTTGGAAGAAATGCAAACTGATGTATTTTTCCAGCAAGACAAGTCATCACCATATGTGCAAGTTCTTAGACAAGTTTCCTGGTTGATGTATAGATCTCCCCATTCACTACATCTCGTGTCTGGATTTCTTTTTTTTTATAGGAATGTGTAAAAGACAGAGTCTATGCAAAGAAGTGTAAAAACATGAGATATTGGAGGCAGTGGCTTCAATTTTCCAAGATATGCTGTGAAACACTTGGCGAAATAGCAATTACAGATTGGATATCTTAAGTACGGTAAGACCTTGCTTAACATTATCAACAAGTTTCCAGAAACTGTGATGTCAAGCAAAACACCCTCTATTGTGTATCCAAGTTATCTCTCATTCTTGCTGTGAAAGCATCTCTTGTGTTACAAATGTGTGTTTTCAATGCTTTCTCACTTTATTTTAGGTGTGTTTGGTTATATATGTAACCCCTACATATTTATCACGGCATTCAATAAGTATTTGGAAGCAAGGAAGCCTTCTTAGACTTCATTGCTTCCATATACTTATTGGATGCTTCATAAATAGGCTACTGTAGTTTTGGCAATTGAGATGAAAAAGATACTTATTATGAAGCTTGAAAGTGACACACGTATGACAAATCTGGTGGCTACATTTAAAGTGCCAAAGTAAACACTGTGCAACCATTAAATACAATTAAATTTTAATTATACAATACTTACATATTTTATTTTTTGTTTTTGTGTTTTAATTTATTATTTAGGGTATTTAATTGTGTTACTTTTACTTTAAATTATGTATATTTGCTGTTTAAGTTTATCAAAATGTTATTTTTAGAGTCTGGAAATGAATTAATTCATTTTCCATTATTTCTAATGGAATAATTTTTCAGACTTTTAATGGCCTCCTCCTGGAATGAATAAAATTGAAAGTAAAAGGCACTGCTATTTGTGTTTAGGTGTGTTAAAATAATTTGTTAGTATATAAATTAATAATTTTTTTATATAAAACATATTTAATAAAAATTACTTAAATAATACATACCTTAGACTTGACATTACCAAACACATCATTCGATTTCACTTCCTTCTGACTATCAAGAGGGCACGACTGAAAGAGAAAAAGTACTCTAGGAGAGCAAGGTCTGGCTGCCTGAATCCAATCATTAGATATATTAAACCCTCGTAGTTGTTCTGTTAATATAGGTATTGCTTTCTGCCTAAAGAAAATAAAAATATCAAAAATTTAGTATTTTTTTAATTCAGAACAAATAAATTACATTATATTTGATCAATGGTCGAGGCAGTTAAGATGTTGGCCTATCTCTCCAAGGATCTCGCTATCAAATCGGGACAAACAACTCCCTAGGAATTTTTCATGGACGGTCAGTCCCAAATATGTCGGCCCTTCTCTCGTCACTGCCATTTCTATCACGGACCCAGCTGAACCCATAATGAGTATAATTAAAATGGGAAACATATAGTATTTAATTACTAAACTATGAAAAAATGGTATTTTGTCTTCCTATTCTCCACATATATAAACCTCTCAAACCCAATGTTATTTATCCAAGCCAAATGATTGCCAATAAGAAATGGCACCTAATGCCTACTTCTAGTAACAAATTACTCAAAATTTAATTATTAATAGTAGCCAAAAAATAGCCTGATGCATTATGGCAATCGTTTGGCTTGGATTACTGTTCTCCATGTGCATACAAGGATGGAGCGGAGATGGAGTCTTTACTGAGTAGAATAGCATTGGATCTTTTAATCTATGTGAAGCATCCTTTGTTTAATAAGTTACATGCAATTTCCACTGTTATCGAAACACCAAGACTGTTACTACATTTCGTACATATGGAATGTGAAAGATTTTATACCAGATTTTGTACACAATACTTTTCTCTTTTATAAAACTGCTTCAATTATACATTTTTTTCACACTTATAAGTCAAATTTTTTTGATACCCTTAAGTACTTTTTTCTCACTTATGCATTATTTACTTTGAAATGTAAATTTAAAGCAATTACTAAAAAATGTGAAAAAGAAAATAATACATTTGCTTAAGGTTGTTTGCACCAATGGCAAATCGCTGGCAAATGTAAAAAGTCGAGTGAATAATAAGTAATGATGCCGTTTCCGACAAATTTTCCCGTTTAGAAAATCACTCTGTGGGTTCTGACAGTTGATATTTTTGCAGTGTAAACGAATATCACTAAGAAAATAAAATTCACTCCTGTTTTTCATACATTTCCACTATTTGCTGTCAGTTTTAGCTAACCTATAGAATGACTCTTCATTATTTTGTATGATAGGTGTTTTGACCGAGGAGATAACTGTGACAAATCCATTGAAAAAAACAAACAAAATTCGACCATTTTTTATAAGTGTATGATTTAATTTTAGACTGAGTTTAGTTTCCCTTTTATATGTTGTCCAATTGTATTATACAGTACATAATTACATGTAATAAACATAAAAATTCAGTTGTATATTTTTAATTTGTGCTGCATCATATTCACTTTGAAAGCAATTTACTTACACTACTGTGATCAAAAAGTATCAGAAATGGTTCATTTAAACTGTGCACGTGCAAGAGGATGCTATTGTCGTTATTTCCATCGATTAGTAAACTTTCATTGACATCTAACAGCAATCTACAGTATGTCATTGTCTGTTTTTGTTTGCAAATAAACATTTGTTTTGTATATAAAGAATTTTTGCGCCATCAATTTTTCAAAATGTTCAGTATAATCAAGCAAAGAATATGCATTAAATTTTGTTTTGCAATGGAATTACTGCTACAAAAAATGTTTGAAATGCAAAAAGTCTTTGTGCAATAGTCTATCAAATGCAGACTATTGCAAAAAGTCTTTGTGCAATAGTCTGCATTTTCAATTAGCACAATATGTTTGAGGAAGGCACAGAATGTGTCGAATATGAACACACTCTGGTAGACCATCCACTTCAACTGATGTTGCTTGAATCAGAGATATGGCTGCTTAATGATCATCATTTAACAATTAAGGACATTATTGAACACATTGCAGTATCATTTGGATCTTGTCAAGCAATTTTAAAAGATCATTTCGACTTGCAGCATGTCACTTCTTAATTGTCCTGAAAACAGAATTTTTTCCAAAAACGTGTTCAAGTGGCTGAGAAAATGCTTTCTCAAATCAAATTGTTCTTAAAACATGGATATATGCTTTTGACACTGAAACAGCTAAACAATCGAGTGAATGACAGTGAAGCAATACCAAAAAGATCACTTCAAAGTCAATCAAAAATTAAGGTCACGTTAACTGTTTTCTTCAATTGCCATGATGTTTTGATCACAAAATTCCTTCCAACTGCCTAAATTGTCAATATTTGAACATTTTGCATTGTTTGTATGAAGCAATTCATAGAAAACGACCTGATTTGTGTGAGAAAACTCATAAATTTTGCAACACGATAATGCACCTGATCACAATGTGCTTGTTATTCATCAATTTTTGGCCAAAAATTCAATAAAAACAATTCCTTAAGCTCCATATTCACTTGATATGGCGCCGTGTGACTTTTTCCCATTTCCTCAACTAAAATAGTGCTTTGTGGTCACCATTTTGAGTTGAGTACCATATGAGTACTTTTGTGGTCACCATAAAACAAAATTTGTTGCAAGTCCCAAAGGAATTTTGGAAAAATGACTTTAAAGCATATTTTGAGGATTGGAAAAAACATTGGCATAAATGAATTGCAGTAGGAAAGGTGCTTTGAAGGAGACAAAATAAATTTTACTGAATAAATTCAAATCTTGCATTTTATTGAACCATTCCTGATACTATTTTAACAGCATAGTATGTTTTTCTTCCTTATATGATATTTATCTCAGTTCCCTCAAAAAACATATAAACAGGGTTCAAATGTACTGTATTTCTTCAATTCTAAGACAATTGACATTAAAATTACATTTTAAGAATTTCCACACATATACAATAACTTTTCTTTTAGTGCACCATTATAATGTCATCCTAAAGACATTTTAAACATCGAAAATGAGTTTAAATTAAATGCTTATAATCAATAAAGCTCATCCAAACTGAAGTGTTGGTTAAGTAGTATTGCCAAAAAGAATCTATTATTGATGCATAATGTACCATGTGATATACTTGCTATGGCTGCTGATTGTTATTTTAGGTTGTGTGTATAAGATGAATCTCTTTTTTTGGATAATTAAAACTGTAAATAAGGATGTCTTAGAATTAAAGATAGACAATAAGCCATTAAAAAAGGTGTTCAAAAAGTTACTATGCAGTGGAAAAGGTTTGAGTAATGTTTTATGTACAACATTGCAGTTTCTTCTACAGAAAATGCTGGAAATGAGTCCCAAAATTCAGAGAAATGAGGTCTAGAGCCTTAACAAGTCAGATTCCACAGGAGATTCTGCAATCAACAAAAAAAGTCTTCCTAAAACTGGAATATCTGTGAGTGAGAAGTAATACCATTTTTTGCAAAGAGGAAACATGGAATGTGACTTACAGGTCTCATAAGTAATGTCATATGTATAACTTTAATGTCATTACAAATTTCTCACTGCACTGCACTCACTGCACTTTTCATACACCTATATTCTTTCTTCCTTTTTTAATTATTGAAGTCAATATAATAAAATTAATTTTTTAATTCATTATCTTAGGGACTGTCCATAAATTATGTTTGCATTTTTCTTGAAATTTTCACTCTTCCCTCTTGTCCCAGTTTGTCCAAGTTTCTGTAACCCCTCCCCTCTTTGGACATCCAACAAAACTTGATCCCCATAAAACCTTTATCATTTTATGAATGATAGATACCATAAGTAGAAACAAAACTTTATACAAGAAATTCTGAAATAAATATATTAAAATGCATTTAATAATGAATTTAATGAAATAAACAAACATCCACTGATGCTCTCCCCTTGTTTTTGTCCAACTTGTTGTAATCACCTCTCCCTTCCCGTATGGACGTCATTTATAGACAATCCCTTATCTAGAAAGAAATGGACTTCGAAGTCTACCAAGTCTCCATGGAGAATCAGAGAAAGGGTAGAAATGTCATATAAAATACAGGAATCACCATTTATTAATGAATAAAATGTTTTTTAGAATGAAGCAGTCCAAGAAAACATTTCATCCATTAATAAATGTAGACTTCTATACTTTATACAGTATATCTGCAATTTCTTTGACATTACCATATGATATAAGATTTTGAAGTGGAAACATATTAAACAAACAAATTACCTTATGACATCGAGAGTCCTGAAAAGATATATATAATTAACATCAAATGTCGCCGTTGGATGGCTAATCTAAAAATACAAATTACTTTTATTACTTTTTAACAATCAAAAATAATTCTCATTTTACTTATAGAAGTAAAAAATATTAAATTAAATTTAATTTAATATATTTTCAAAAATAAATTATTATTTTTTTAAACTCTGTCTGCCTCATGGGAATTAAAAAGTTCTTTCTCTCAGTAAGTCCATTATGGGTTTGGACAAACCCACAATGGGGCATCCAAGTGATAAGGGATGGGACCTGACATATCCAGACAGACCACCCCAAAACTTCCTGGGGTGTTTTGATCCATCCAGATTCAATCCCAGGTCCTTCAGTGTGGTCGGTTGCCACCCTAATCACTTAGCCATTTGATGGTTACATCAAATAAATGTATTAGAAAAGCAAACAATTCATGAATTATTATTTTTAAACCTTTCATTATATTTAAATATTTTAAAAAAAAATTATGTTTATCTCCTTTTTTTAGATAGATGTCAAAAAGCCAATTTTCCATTCTTTTGAAATGTCTTCTCCATTAAGACACCTTTCAAATAACTTTGTTGTCATTCTAAATAATTTTTCTGATCCATTTTTTATCAATTCTTCCATTATTCCTCCAGGACCACTTGCACTATTATTCTTCAGTTTCTTACACACTTATTTAATCTGTTTTGTCTCTAGATGAATTGGTACATCCTTCTCTATGTTTATATCTTCTGTCGTGAATTGAATTCTATCTTCTGTTAATAAATTTTTATAATATTCTTTCCATTGTTTAACCAAAATAAACTAGATCAAGAATAAAAAGAATATATAATGCTATTGTTAAAAGCATTCTATTATACAGGGCGGAGGCACGGAGAATGACTGGGGAAGAGAAAAGAAAAGTGGCAACGGTTGAGATGGATGCATTGAGAAGATCATGTAAAATATAAAAAAGAAAGAATAACTAATGAGAGGATCAATAGAATTGATTGAGACAGGTTTGGAAGAAATATAGAGGAAACAACTTATTTGGTTTGGACATGTGAAACGAATGAGTGATGAGAGACTCCCAAAAATGTCAATGGAATACATTCCACAAAAGAAAAAAAAGTGAGGAAGACCCAGGCAAACTTAGTACAATGGAGTGAAAATAGCATGTAGTGAAAATGGGAATAAAGAGAATTGGTATACGGATAGAGAGAGATGGAGAGGATTCATGGAGATTGGAAGGCCACGTCAAATGCCATAAACCAAATATAGATAGATAGAAAAAAACAATTAAAACAAAAAATTTGAAATTATCATATTTTACAGCATATAAGATGCAACTGTTGTTAAACACAAATGCTCAAAATCACTCTACATCTTATATGTGAAGCTGCAATCTCCCATAAGCTAATAAATTTCCCAAATTGTCTTCAATAATCTACAGGTAACACTCTACCTAATCCAACTCTTAAATAAGAATGTTATTATTTAATTAAACATATGATTTAATTCAATGAGGAAGGTTCTGCATGGAAGGTTCTGACAGATGCCACCACTACCATGCAGAACCTCCCTCATAGAATTAAAGAGCATAAGTTGTCATTGAATTCATCAATTGAATGTATCAGTATTTGCTAACAAACCTAATATGGAAATCATTAAGAACAGTGTCACAATTAAATACTTTGTGCTGAAATGGAAGTGCATCTTATATGTTGTGAAATATGTAGTTACAATGACTGTGAAGAGTAATTTTTTAATTTCAGTACAATGGAAAACATGATTTATGTTTTATAAATTGAAATGTAATTGAGGCAGTAAAGTCTCTCCCTCTCTGGAGGTCTTTGATGTGAGTCAGAACCTCAGAAATTTTCATGATTTGTTAGTGTGATATGTTGAGCTCTATACCTCACTACCATCCAGCAGTTTCCTCCATTGTAGGCCTGGCAAAACATGTAATGGATACAAAGAGGCCTTTAGTACCCATCAAGAAGCGAGAATAATAATAATATATATGTATATATTAAAAACTTCAAAAATGTGATAAATATCATTTTACAGTGCCTAAAGGTTAATACATATGCACTGTTTTTAATTTTTATACATTTAATGTTAATGAAATATCCTTATTTATATAGATTATTAATTAAATTAATTACTGCAAATAAATCAAATTATATTTAAAATAATATTTCAGATAAAACTCACTAATATTATGTGTGAAATGCTGAACATTAAAAGAAGAGCTTTGGCAAATTTGCATTGTAAATCACACCACAACTCCAAGAAACTCTAAAAAAATAATATTAAATATTAAAAATTCTGCCATAAATAACTGAATGAAAGAATATTTTCGTGCAATGTTACCTTTTCTAAAAGATCCGATTCTAGACTTTTACACATCTGTGTTAAATAACTTGCGTCGAAGATACCCGTTAGATGCAAAAATATTACTTGGCTTTCTGGATCATAATATCCTCTGATATCGCAATGCTGAATGAAAAATAAAAGCAAGTATCAAGATTGTGTTAATTTTTCTTATTACAATATACAGCAGCATAAAAATGATTTAATAATAAAATAATTTTATGATTTCATATCATAGTCTGAATGATATGAAACTAAAAAGAGCAAGACAGAATAATGAATAAACAAGCACTTTTCCACCTGAAAATTTCAGCAAAATCTGTGAAAAAAGTAAAGAAATGCTAATTCCTAAGTGAAAGGCATAAAAGAAAGATGGGCATCTTTGGATTTCTTCTTATAATTTCCGCATTATATAAAGATTGTTAGAAATCTCAATGCAACCAAGAAGAAAAATATCATACAGATGGCAATTAAAAAAATATAATTAGAAACAAGCCATTAGAAAAATATCTAACATTTATAGTCACAAAACACTTTGCAACAAAACTACAAAAAGAAATTAATAGAATGGTTTCTAAATTATTTCCAATTTGTACATTGTTTTAAGGATCTCGTTGACAATGTCTGTGACTGTTGCACACGAAAGAAGTTTTTTGCGATTAAAACTTATCAAAACTAATAATGAACCAAGAGATTGAATGGTTTAGCAATTACATCGATCAAAAGTGAGAAAGCGAAAACTAAACATTGATGACCCAAGATTAAAATTTTCTCGACTAAAAGCTAGAAAGACTCCATTTACTACTCATTTAACTGATGTATGTTTTTAGTTAAAATAAAGCTTTTATAAAAACACCCAGCTACAATGAGCTGCATAATTTTCCTGGCAAAAATATTTATGTTTAAAAAATACTAAGACATATTAAGCTACGTTCACATTGGTATACGAACCACTATGAAGTAAATGCAAACTGCCAGTTCATCCCCTTTCATCAGGGGTAAAAAATATAGTGACTTCTGCCAAACTTTGGTTTGTTAAACAAATCAACTTTCATGTCTAAAGTTTGTTTATCCAATCATCAAATGGCAGGGAAAGTTTATATATAATCTTTGAAAAAATTCAGATTACTAAGATACAGTATTTAATATATTGTCACAATAGAAAGTTTACATCAGTTGTAAAAGTAAGACAAGAGCAAATGCTCATTAAGCCAATATCTACTATAAAATATTTATATTTCATAGTAGATATTTTATAGTAGATAATGTCTAACATGCATAATATAATCATAATTATATTATGCATGTTAGACATTAATATAATAATACTTAATATACTTACGGTATCAGTGTTTATTTTCGGCATGTCACACATATTACTCTGCAAAAAGAATAAAAAATTATTCATTAATACTTCAACTATAAATTATGTACTTTTTAAATTCGTTGAGAACAAAAGAATTTCTCAAAAATAATATATCCAGAAAGAGAAATTTTAAATGTTAATACAAAGAAAATCTATAATGTACTTAATGTTAGACGTTCTGTCTCTCACTGCTTTTAACAGTCCAATCCTGTGCATACATAATTATATATATATTATTACTTATATAAAGAATTAATATAAATTGGGGCATAGCTATGGGGAGTGGATTCCACTTATAAATTTATGTAAATATTCTGTAATGTGTATACCCTGAGCCTATAAAGCAATCATTGAAAACATAACACTTACCAATGTTCAGTTTAGAAGGTACCAACTCATTATTAACACATTGTTTTTCTACTTTATTTCATTGTAGATGTAATTACAAAATAAGTAAAAAATAAAAATAAAAAAAAAAGATTACTGTGGAAGAATCTCCTATACTTCATGCATAAACATACAAAGCTTGTCAAATGACAAAATTTTTTATCCTACCACTTCATTTGTTTTACTTATCAAATAATAAGTTAATAACAACTGTAATTGCTAGTCACCATAGTATTGAGGCATTAGATCCCAGTAATTCCATAAACCCTACAGTGATGATAGCAGGAGCATGGCCACCCATGCCAGTAAGGTCTATGGAGAGAAATAAAGGGAAGAGTGACCAACAAGCAGCATCTAATCCAGAGTGTTCAACTGCTTAATAGTATCTGTTCTTTAGGGGCAGCTGATTTAAAATCACTTGGATTTAGGTATACAAGCATACTTGCTTCTGTTCAGAAAAAAATTTGTTGTGATATATTCTCAGCTTAATACCGGCTTGGACATTGCCCAGGTCCACAAAGTCATGTTCGTGGGTTTGGCAGAGACTCACATTTGAAAAATCTGCCACCAGTGAAAAATGCAGCACTGGTCAAGGCTACTGCATCACAAACACAAACACATTCAAACCTCAGTTGCATGCAATGGAAAGAACACACTAACCCAGCCAAAATGCATCAATGCAATCCAGGGCCATGTTCAGTAACACAGAATTCTTGCTAAGTCTAGTTATGCTGCGATGTTGAACTCATTTCTCGACTCCTCCCACCACTAGAATTCTAGCTAGTTTAGTCAGCTTCTTTTATCTATGCGAACTTGTACTAGTGACATCATTGTTTTTGTCTGGTCATACAATTTGCAAGATGGCTGCTCGTGTTGGACTAAATGTATTTTATTATAAGAATCACAAAGTTATTCTCTCATTCTAAATCATTAACTCATTCTCAAATGACTTCGAAATGTAAAATTATCATACGTCAGTATAACAGATTCCGAATACATTTTAATGGAAGATAGCAGTCCATTTCATTAATTACAGTTAATAATTGCTTTATTAATTTCATCACAATCTGACACAGCTTCCATTGTGAACAATTTTTTGGTTACTTCATCCTTTTCGACCAGTTCGTTTGTGACAATTGTTGCGATCATCATTTTGCCTAATTGTCTAACTAAGAATAATCGTTCAATGATGCTCAGAACATTCTTATCTCCGACCACTAAGCCACTCAGAATTCTAACTTAGGTGTTCTGAGTTACTGAACACGGCCCAGCTACTGACCACCAAGGCTTGAAAATCATACAATGGATGAAGTACACTCAAAATACAAACAAATTCATCATCTGTACCTACTATACCATCACAAAACTAGAAACAGACATAACAGCTTAAAGACAGATACTACATGAAAATTTCTCACAAAAACATCCACACCTCACTGTTCCTAGAGTAGAGGATTATAGAACAGAAAAGAACAATTATACACAACAACCTTATCCCCCAAACAATACTCAAACGTATCAAACAAGTTGTAGAACAGATGTCTTGACACAGAAATGCTAGTCATAGAACTAGAACTAAACAAAAAAACCCTAAGCCTTCTGTATAAAGGCTTACTCATAAAGGAGGAGGACAAGGTCTTACGAGATATGGTAAATCTTCACCAAAAATACTTTGAGAGATTTTCTACAGAATACAAGAAACTTACAATTACACAAAGCTAAAACTCTTGCAAGCAAAAACAATATACTATTAAACACCTACAAAACACTAAGCTGGATCTAGTAACACAGTATTTATGGTCTCACAAACTTGAGGCTGTGCAAGGCCATACAGAAAAGCTCACACAGCTTACCTCTCTCGTTTTTGAAGGTGTCTATTCACTTCCTTCCCCTTTGAGTATTTTAACTGGCCAAAAATCATTTTGTACTAATTTTGGAACACTCTACAGCTCTGTAATTTAAACTATGTCTCTGTCTTTCATAGAAGCCAAGACAGGATTTGGTCCTAGAAAAGAGAAGTCAGGACACGGTGACTATGCTATCAAATAGCCCATTAGTGATTATCTACACCAAGGTTTCCCAATGGGGTCAGTTTTATAACAATTTTTTGTAAGTTTATAAATTATTATAACAATATTAAACTTCATATTGTTATAATAATTTGCAACTAGTTATTGTAAATTACAGTAGGAATGTTTAAAGAGTTACAGAGCAATATAAAATGTAAAAGTTCCATCAAAAATAGAGAGCCCTTAATAAATACATATAGTGTTGAACCTTGATATAACAGACTAATCAAAAATTGATGGATTGATGGTGTTGATTGTCTGCTGTAAGATGTCCAGCTATAAAACAAACTTTATATGAAATATAAGAGATGTAGCTATACTAAGATACATACAAGAGAAACAAACATCCCACTTCCAAGCAGAAATGTAAGAAATAACTGCTGAAATAATGCTTAGTGACATTCTGAATATTAGCAGTCACAGTCCAACACAGTTTCCAAAATCTACAATATTGGAATCTGTAAAACCAGGGACTTTTTTTTTAAACTCTTTTCACTCTGTGAACATCAAGAAGTCCATTATGTGTTTGGCCAGACCACCAAAGGGACACTCTTGTGGTGAGAGATAAGGCCTGATGTATTTGGATGAACCACATCCCTGAAAATTTCCTGAGGTTTTGGCCTTTTTGTGCTCTCTGAGAAGTAAAGGGCCTAAAACCATAAAAAATAATTCCTGGGGCTTTTTTATGACCCATCTGGATTCGATCCAGAGTTCCCCAGTAATGGATGCCATCTTAACTCTCAGCTATCCAGCCAAACTAAGGGCTAACATTATGCATGTTATGAATATACATAATTATACATGTGTATTATTATTGTAAAATTCAAAATACCTTAAAAATGCTTCTTCCTATAACTTCATCTATAAGTCCAGTTTTGCAGCAGTTAGCATGAAGGGAACTTCTTCCGACTACAGACACAACACAAACTTTATTCTTGGCAGTTACTTTCAGTATTTCACTGGATAAAAAAATTTCGTTAAATAATCTATAATATCATTTTTTAAAAATTACAAATAATAAATAATGGATGTACAAATGATTATATTTTACATAAACAATATTTGCAAAGTAAATAATTAACAGTTATTATGATAAAGAGAAATGAAAACGTAAAATTTATAGAAAGTGGTCTATGACAGGGGTCTCCAAAATGGTCGATATTGAACCTCAAGAGTTGACGAGGCATTTTTGGGGAGTTGATTAGAAACAGCTCATTAAAAATTACTAGCTCAATGGGTATTTGTATGAATGTTATATGAGTTCAGAATGTTGTAAATTTGCACACTGTAATTAGATCTTTTCTATGAAAATAACATGTAGATTAATAGCCAACTGACTCACCAGACTTATTATTACATAATGTTGGCAGAGTATATCCTACATGGCATATATATATCAGTGCCTAATGCTATGCCCAAAGTCAAGGCATAACGACAAAAGAAACATTTTGTTTATGTTCTGTTTGCGTATCTGTTTACTATTATCATTATCAATTTTATTAGTGAAAAAAGAAAAGAGGATTGATAAAATCTTGAAGAGTCCTTGAAGATGTCGTCAGTCAAGACCTCTGCTCTGTAACAATGAAGTTTGGAACACTGAAGGGACACAGCAACGAAAGAAAAATACAACAGTGGATAAAATATTTTTAAAATTTAGTTTGTCCTATAAAAGACTTAAATAAATTTATAACTGTTTGGAAAATGTATTATATAATCAATAACTTTCTGTTTATATTTTAATTAGTTTATTTGATTTTTGCTTCTGTTTATCAAAGGTCTGTCATTTTTTACTATTTAGGAAAAGACCCAGCATTGCTTTTTTGACACCACAAATATATTTTAAAGATAAATAAATTTAATAAAAATTCTAAATAATTTATTGAATTAATTAGAAAAAATATTGTTCTTATATATTTATAGAGATGATTGTTAATGTGTTACACCTCAAGAATGACATTGTACATATGCCATGATATTATGAAAGTATATTTTAAAAATGAGAAGAAATCAATCTGTATAAAGATTTATTACATTCACGATAAACTAATAGTGAGGTTAGACAGTTATTATAGTACAGCATCTTCCAAAAAGAATGCTACCATTTTAAATTATTGTAATTATTTTCCAAGAACATTGGAAATCTATCAAAGTCTGACATTTGGCCATTACAATTTCTCAATGCGTGCACCTGACTGATACTGAAATTCTTCCTACACTCATTACATATCCATTGTCCCTCCTCCTACAGCATCCACAATTCTACAGTTCCTGCAGATTATTGACGTTGCACAATGATGAGCGATTCTGACTTCGTGAGCTGCAGAATGCAAAATGTCTTCTCCGAATAGTCGACACTTTCATTTACGACGTTATCTAGAGGTGGTAGATGACACGATGTTTGAATGCAGGTGCAAGACAAAACTTGGACAATTACCATCAATTGGTGTATGGGAGATTTTTTTAAGAGTAACTGTCCCCTATTCAGGCATTACAGATGTGGAGAAAACCTGAAAATCTCCACGTGGCCAGCCCATCCGAGCAAAGCGCAAACCCACAACCAAACTCCCAGTGTTTGGGGAACGGAACCGCTTGACCACTGGTGGGCTCACGGAGTATTTGCTATTATAGTATATCGCTCCACACCTCAGTGCCTAGTCTGGGGCTCGCCCCCACCTGGGCACTTAGATGCAAGCGATAGCACGTCTACATACAAAGCACGTAGATTAAGCAGTAGATTGATAAGTGTTAAAAACTGACCTGCGCGCCGTATGGGTTGCAATTTTACCATAAAAGCTAATAATTTTAGGTTAGATTTTATTAAGCTTCAAAACATTAATTTTTAAATTAAATTTAAACATCTGGACAAATATTTAACCTTTACACTCTAAAAAACACAATATGATATTATTTTATTTAAATAATCTTACTTTAATTCATCGTCAAAGACAGAAGGTAAATTAAATCTGATACATTTCGGATCGATGGGGGGAGCCATTTTGAAATATTCTATCTGTACAGTGTTGCCATATTCCTAAGAATCCGAACTAAATATAATTTAAATAAATAAATTATTATCTTAAATTTTAAATATAAATAAATAAAGTGTATGTAGTAATTTATCTTATATAAATATTTTTAGATGGAATGTATATGTATACGTTTTTTAGTATAGTGGTCCCGTAAATTTTGTTTTTGACTCTCCGTGGTCGAAGTGGGTCTATTTTTTTCATATCCTTTATAGATTCTGCCAAGCCCATAATGGGGCTGCCAATGGATAAGGGACGGAATTCGTGAAAAGTTTCTGGGACTTTTCGAACGCCCGAATTCGATTCCGGTCTCCCAGAGCGGAAGGTTGACGCCTTAACTATCTCGGCCGTCCGGCCGTTCTGGTCTATTGGATGAATGGATGGTTGGCTCGGTCAGTTCTTTACGAAATTGTGCCGGAAAACTTGGACTATAGGAAATTTTGCTCTCGATGGAATTCAAAAATGCTTATCGAGGAACACAAAATGAAGAGATTAAACAGCACTTTGACATTTTGACCAGACACCCTGAGAAAAGTGATGAACTATTGAGCCACATCTTCATGGGGAACGATGTACTGGTGTCTCGAGTGATCCCTGAATTCAAGCAGCAGTCGCTGGAGTGGCGACACACGTCATATCCGACGAAAGTGAAATTCAAGCAGACAATCTCAAGATTACGGAAACCGTGTTCTGGGACAGATGCGTTGTTTTGCTAGTGGACTTCATGCCGCAAGGGACAACAATAAACGTTACTGCATATTAACAGACCTCGATGAGACCGTCTCAAAAGTGACAAAAGAATTCTCTTCTATTTAATTAATCGATGAGAGTTCTAATTACTACAGCCCCTTCGTCCGCCAACCTTTTAATCTTGTTTCATCTATGGTTAACATTATTACCTTGCTCAGACAGAAGAATGATCCGTCTTTCTTCCCGAACAGGAGTGAGGTTGCGGCCGAAGTTTTCNCTCGACGTTCGACGTTCACGTTTCAGAGATGAAAACTTCGGCCGCAACCTCGCTAATGTCATGAGAGGAGCGAAGGACCTGACCTAGCCTAACCGAAATCTCAATCCTCATAATGTCTATTTAGGATGAAAGGTCGGTCGAATGTCGCGTCCGGTGAGGAAACCTGTCACGTGTGGGTGGTCACAATCGGGAGTCAGTCAAATCCGTAGTCACATTCGGGTAAGAGACGATGTCGAAGGTGTCGAGTCCGATAAAAAGTGTTTAATCCGATAAGAATGTCGCATCCGGGCGCAGAAGGACGAGTCGGGAAAAATCAAAGAGGATCACGTATTTCGTTTTTTTTCTCAAACTGTTAAGGATTAAAATTAAACCGTTAGTATTTTTAAATACGAAAAATTAACAATGAAAAATAAATATGACGTGTGCTAATTGCTTAGAACATAACAACGTTCACTTCAGCGTGATTTTCGGTGGAATAAAATGAATAATAATTAAGTTCATTTCAATTAATTATTAATAAGAATATTTAAATTTATGATTAAACTTAATTATTCAAAATATAAGAATTTATACTGAAACTAACTAGATTCGCATGAGTGGAATGGCATGACCCTCAAAAGCACTCCTATAAATGTGGAAGAAGCGAACACTTAGATTATTCTGACAATTTTACAGTGTTTTAGACGACGTTTGTATTTAAAGATTTTAATTAATTTAAAATCCATTTTTTATATATATTTTTTCCAGTTTTAGCTGATGAACGTCCAGAGAATTCTGATAAAGAATGTTCTGATGATGACATCGATAACTAGTGTCCTACATGTTTACGTTGGATTTAGGTTTGTTTGAGTTATGGCAACGCAACACTTGGGCGATCTGCCTAGGGGATTTGCCTTCCGGGAGATTTTTTAAAGGATAACTGGCCCCTATTCAGGCGTTACAGACGTGGAGAAAACCCGAAAATCTCCACTTGGCCTGCCCGTCCTGACCAGGCGCGAACCCACGATCGAACCTACCAGTGGTCGGGGAACGGAACTGCTTGGCCACTGGTGGGCCGACAATTTAATGCCTTAAAGTAAAATTAATATTAAAAACGACGGTAAGAAATTTTTCAAGAAGTTTCTTAATTTTCTGTGAAATATAATTATTTGTGTATTCGACAGATATCGACGTTTGGTTAGATGAGGCTGACAATAACAAGGTGAAAGGATTGAAGAAAATGCTAAACGTAGAAACAAGAACTGAAAACAGCAGTAAATACTTAGAGACTTATGTTGCTCCATTAACACAGTTTGATAATTGAAATTACATCATTACAACTCTTATTCGGTCATACATAGATTCAGCCACTTTTATAGTGAAACCTACAATATTGCAAACCTATATTTATCAATATAAAAGTGGCTGAAGAGATGGTGTATTCATGACCGAAACTCTTTCCATAAATAAAATTGACATTACATTGTGAAAACACTACTTTCTCCCTCCAATTGTTTCAAGTATCTCCATTAAAAAGTTTGAGATAAGTAATTCCTTGATAAGTAGTGGTCCCGTAAATTTTGTTTTTGACTCTCCGTGGTCGAAGTGGGTCTATTTTTTTCATATCCTTTATAGATTCTGCCAAGCCCATAATGGGGNAAGAAATTTTTCAAGAAGTTTCTTAATTTTCTGTGAAATATAATTATTTGTGTATTCGACAGATATCGACATTTGGTTAGATGAGGCTGACAATAACAAGGTGAAAGGATTGAAGAAAATGCTAAACGTAGAAACAAGAACTGAAAACAGCAGTAAATACTTAGAGACTTATGTTGCTCCATTAACACAGTTTGATAATTGAAATTACATCATTACAACTCTTATTCGGTCATACATAGATTCAGCCACTTTTATAGTGAAACCTACAATATTGCAAACCTATATTTATCAATATAAAAGTGGCTGAAGAGATGGTGTATTCATGACCGAAACTCTTTCCATAAATAAAATTGACATTACATTGTGAAAACACTACTTTCTCCCTCCAATTGTTTCAAGTATCTCCATTAAAAAGTTTGAGATAAGTAATTCCTTGATAAGTACAATTAAATATAAAATTATTTATTTTTATAAATAAATAATATGATTTAGAAAATGGACAATTTGTTAATTTCCACTTATTGATATTCTTTACAAACAATCTTCAATCACTCTTTTGTATGAAATAAAATAAATTTCTTAAATATCATGCGATATATTATTACATCAAAATATCATTTGTTTTTTGAAACCGTGTCCTGTTTTATAATTCTGGCGTAGTAAAACACTAGTATTGTGTTTTATTCCAAAGACACATGGCAAGTTTTCCATCAAATTCCTTTAATCGACTCAACTAATAAAGGAATTTGATGGAAAACTTGCCACGTGTCTTTGGAATAAAACCCAATACTAGTGTTTACTACGCCATAATCAAAATATCACTTTCGATTTATTATTGGGAATAGGACAACAATTGGGCGAGCTGCCAAGGTGGACAACTTCCTGGTAGACTTTCTATGAGAAATCCGGAAAACTACACGTGGCCAATTCCACGTGGAATACATTACTTCGTCATGGAAACAGATGGGCGCCAGCGCATATAAAATCTGTTTATCCGTATATCCTCTTATCACAAGTTAATTTATTCAACCAGACGTAAAGGGAAAAGTATTTATGCTTGTTTTATTGATTTTACAAAAGCCTTTGACAGCATTAACCAAGAGACTCTTTACAAGATTTTCAAAGTACTAATTAAAGATACGAGCAGAAATACTGAGACAGCTGTTAAAGTATGTGGATAGAGAAGAACATGGCTTAGAATAGAAAAAGAGACTAGTCAAGAGGAGCCAATATCACCGGTTCTATTTATCACATATCTTGAAAGGAGAATGGGCATACTAAAGGAAGAAGCAGATGGAATTTCAATCCATGGTAAGAGGATAAACTCAGATTTGCAGATCATTTGGTTATTTTGGAAGATAACAGGGAAAAACTGCTTGAATCCATTAACAAACTGAAGAATGAAGGTCCACAAATGAATTTCTCAAAAACAAAAATAATGGTTTTTCCAAAGAAAACACGATCAAAAAGATGTCTTTGAGATCGATGGAAAACAGTTGGAAATAGTGAAGGAGTACATCTATTTAGGAAATAAGCTCGTATCAAACTTGGACTGCTGCAGAGAAATTAAGATTAAAATTGCCCAAGCAATGACAATAATCAAGGGAATAGAACAAATATGAAAGAGTAGAGAGATGTCTGAGAACCAAACTCAATGTTCTTGATACCTGCATTCTCGATGACGTGTTGTATGAATGCGAGAAGTGGATCATAAAGAAATCCATCACAAAAAATAATCTTGGCCTTCGAAAGGAACTACTGCGAATAAACTGGTCAGAGAGGGTCAAAAACGAGGAAATGTATCAAAAAGTCTAACACAAAGAAACCTTTCTACAGATAGTAATCAGAAAGAAGTTATAATTATTTGGGCACATATGAAGAATGAACCCAGAAAGAGGATTAAACACGTGAAGGAAACTCAGAAAAGTTTAGAGCTAACCCACGACCAATTCCCACTGTTCAGTGGTTTTCCTTTGTCCATCCCAAATAAAAGGAACTTTAACAAAATAAATTTCGTTTAGAATAAATTCCATTGAATCCTGGCTTAAATTGCAGATAATCCTTCATAATTCAGAATTATAAAAGACGTTTTGAAAAATTAAAATTAAATTATTTACATTCTTAATTTTAAAAAATGGCGTTCACTTGAACACCAAACAAAATGAATAATGGTCGAATTATTAAATATTTTAATTAAAAAATTTATTTACAGGATTAAAATAAATTATTTTAAGAATATTTAAATTTAAGATAAAAATAATTATCCAGAAAATAGTCATTTACATTCAAATTAATCGATATTTAATTAAGATGGCAAAATTTACATAAGTTCAGTGGCACAACCCTTAAGAGTACTTCTTTAAGTGTGGAAGAAGTGGATTAATTTAACAATTTTAGTGTTTTAGATGGTGATTTGATTTTAAATTTACGTGCAAGTCAATATATTTCGTTAATTTTTACATTTTTAATTACATTTCAATCGAAGTTTCTAAGGATCTATCATTACATCAACTAAATCATGGAAGAGGAATCAACTAGTGGGTGTGAAGTGTGTTGTAAGTATATTTGTATTCTTGTAATTATAATTGTTTTTATGTTGATTAAGTAAACTTTATCTTCAGCCGGAGATTATTATTCAGGGAGTTCTGATTCTGATGAGTATGTGGACTGTGAGAGGCAATGTCCAGTATGTTCAGAATGGCACACTTACTTTCCAGGTAAAGCTTGTCCCGGTTGTACAGAGTTTTTCGAACAATGCGTGAGAAACTTTGAAGAACCAATTTGTTATACGAGTGAAAACTATTGCGATAACAAGAATCAAAAACGTTATTGCAACTGTTGTCGATTGAACAGATGTTACAAAGTGGGAATGAGAGTAATAGATGTTTATGGTACGTAGTACTTTAATGGAAGATAATTTCTTTCACTTAATAATGACATACACGTTTCTAACGACAGAATACCTTGATGACTATATAAATGCTCTTCGAGTAAGGTTAAACGAAGGATGCCAGGTAAAAACATTCTTATTTTCAATTCGGGGTAGCGGGAAACTGTTAAGTTCGTGTTCTGTTAGGTTTTTTTTTCTGTATTCTACAAAGTTGTTTTTCAAGATATTTTTTTGTTTACAATGCTGTTTTTAGGGGAGGAAACTTGACAATGGAGTAAGGTGGATGAAAGCACAAGAAGAGTTTTATGACCTTAGAGATAGTTTTCATAATTGGATTTGTTGTTTCAGCGACTTTCAAACCCTGCGAAGATGCGATCAAGTAAGAATGTTATGAAATTTTCTTTCCCTGTATCTTCATTAATCTTGTGAAAACCCCCACCTATAGAACTTTAATCTGTTTACATATTAAATCCTCCATTACTGGGGGGGTTAAAATCTTATTTACCCCTTCCACCTTCCAAAATTCCCTTTTAGAATGGGTTTTTTTAAGTTTTCTGCTTAATAATGATGGTGGGTTTTATTTGATGAGGAAACCTTCCTTTTTTTCCTAATGATTTATTTTTACTTTTGTAGATTAGTTTAAAAGAAAAATACAAATACAGAGGAGTTATAATGGAAATAGTCCAACAATCACTAGAAGCGCACATGGTGCTGAGATTTGAGAATTTCTTCTGGAATCCTCTCAAATATCAGAGTTCCCTCATCATCGATTTAATTAGCGGTATTTTAAAACTAACGCTGAAACTGCGCCTTTGTTACTATGATGGAGCAGACATTAATAAAATGAAACTAAAGTTAATATTGAGGGACGACGGTAAGTAATTATTGAAAAATATATTTAAAAAAAAACATTTTCTACGAAATCTAATTCTTGTACACACGACAGACTTCAACGTTGAGTTAGGTAAGCTGGAAAATGATAACTTAACAGAGTTAAAGAATATGTTAAATGATATAGAAGAAAAATTTACAGAAGCATCAAAGCATTGTCTGGAATTCTGTTGTAAGTTATGTTTTTGCTTGTTTTTTACTTAAAAAATTTTTCAATTCCTGTTCGATAAATTGGGAAATTTGTCTAAAATGTAGTTAATTTTTAAAAATACACTTTTTTTATTTATAGGACGAGTACGACTTTTAGAATTATATATATATAAAACGTAATATACGTCTGTAAAATGTAAATGGAACCATTCAACTTTTAAGAAATAATTGTAATGTTTTCAAATTTATATATGTATATGAAATGCTATTGTTTATTTTAACTTGTGATAGTACACGTGGTAGAAATGAAATGAGACGAGAAATTAAATGAGCTTCGTTCAACCTTTTTAACTGCTTATTCAATGAACTCCATTGTACATGTTTACTTGAATAAATTTTAAAAATTCACGTGTACATTGTGTAGACATTTTTAATGTAAAATAAATTTCCTACTTGTTTACTTTGAAACAAATCCTTGACATAAATTAATTAATCTACATCAAATCGGAGGTGAAGTCTTTGATGGAAAACTTCCATCAAACACAGAAAAAGAATGCTGTAGCATGATATGAACTATGAAAGTCTAATAAAAAAAAAAACTAAACTTCTCATTGTCTTGTTAAATTTTAATATCCGTGATATTTTATATAAAATTTTGAAAAGCCCTGTGCTCCTACGAATGTCTTCCTAGTAGGTAATCCTGTGTTACACAATAATCCAGTGGTTCTTAACTAGTGGTGCAAAGATTCCCAAGGGGTTTGTAGGAAGTCCGTTTTCAAAGGGTCATTTGACTACACCACGCGAAACAAAATAGGTTAAGAACCCCCCTATATTATAGCTGGACGGACAGTTTAATCTAAACAAAGACACTAAGAACAAGTCTTTAGTACTCGGCAAAAGGGCACTTTGCTTTATAACTTTCAGGATCCTGGAAAATCATTTGAAATGTAATTTAAGTAAATTGCATAAGATTTGAAAAAAAAAAATTATACGAAATCCTTGCACTCAAATTTTGAGGAGGCATAAAATCTCGACACGTGCGAGCCTCACTGGGCACGGGATGACCTAAGTATCTGTTATCTGGAATTGAGTGATGAATCGGCAAAATGTGATGGCGAATCAAGTACGAGCGTGATGAAAGAGGATGCTATTGAAAGGAAAGTCACACCCGGGAACATTAAACGCGGAATTTCTCAAAAGGAAAAAACATGGCACGATATCATAAAACTTTACGCTTTAATTTAGAATAATTAATTCCAAATTTCCGTTTTTATCGTTAATTATATTCGGAAAAGAAATAAGTAAATAACCATTTTGTAAATCACGTATACTGCAGGAAATTTTAACCACAAGTTTCCAAATTGCCAATGAGTAGTTTTATTTCCGTTTAAAACACTTAAATGACACTTGCAAAAGCAAAAATAATTTATTTTAGCAGGTAAAAGATGTACTACAGTATCGATTTAAAAGTATTTATATAAATATAAGTAGTAAAATAATAAAAACTATTGAATTCTCATTGATTATCAAGCAAGAAACTAAACTGCACATCGAATTTTTTGCAGATATTTGCATTTAAATTCTCAATTTTCTTTCTTCCAAAAGATTCAAGTGTGAGAATCATTCACGAAGTAGAAAGAAAAATGATTTTAGCTCCCACTTTCAAGGCATTTTATACATTCCACGTTGAATAATTTCTTCACTTCTGACATTTTTACTTCTAACGAATCTAACATTATTGATAACGACGACAATTCATCATCTTCGGCATCACTTAAATCCACGTTGATATCTGTCGTGTATATAAAAAAATTATTTAGAAATTCTTCAGGTTTTAAAATGTTTCGGCAATTGCTTACCGTCTTTTAGAATTAGTTTCAGTTTCATCCTATTCAAATTTTCTACGGAACTGTACTTCTGCTGTAGTTTTAACGTCAATGTTAAGATACCTCTCATTAGCTGTGTGATGTCATTTCTTTCGTATTTCGTAGGATCCCAGAAGAAAGTGTGGAAATTCAGTACCATATGAACGTGTAGCGATCGATCGACTATTTCCATTATAGTTCCTCTGAGTTTGTATTTTTCTTTTAAAGTCTCCTGTAAAAATCAATAAAAATTCTTATAAAATCCTGTAAACAGTAATACTGATCCCTGTATTAGTCTATTACTACTGATCCCTGTATTAAAATCTATTAGAAAAATATTTAATATATGCAAAATCTCATATTTTGATGATCTAAAATTTTGGTTTCTTCAGTAAAGAGGGGAGGGGAATTCTTGATTAAAAAAGAACGCGATTTCCTTCTTACATTACAAATTAATTTTTACAAAATAGAAGCCAAGAATATTCTTACTTGAACGTCTTCACTTAATGTTTGAAATTCGTACATTTGAGAAATCCATTCGTTGAAAGTACTTTCAAAACGAAGAAACTCGTGATTTGCCTTCAACCATTTTCTATCATCATCCGATTTTTTATTCTGGAAAAAGAATTTTTTGGCTTATAAATATACAAATTTAAAAAAAAAATATGCAGAAATTCAACAACAATACGGGCACTTTTCTATTCGTAAAAACATTTGTTTAAATGAGACGTTAACAAATCCTTCGAACGACTAAAAAAGGATGCTTCGGATGAAGACCTTTTATCTATTTGATCTGGGAGAAATTAGTGTGTTTTATATGAACTAAGTATCAAATAAAGTAAAGTACAGTATCTACTATTGCTACTGTTCTTTCATTTCTAACGATAACTAAGATTTACCTTAAATTCTTCGCTCAATCTTAATTGTATATCTTTATAATAATCTTCCAGATCTTCTGCAAATAGAAAAATGACACAGTTAAAACATGAGAAATAAAATATTCGATTAATGTATATACAAACCATAAGCATCCATGGCAGTCATTCCAATTTTGTAACAGTTCATCAATCGACAGTAACTACAAGAAAGGATACATATACTGTCGCAGTCTCCTTCGCTCTCACAAATCGGATCGTCGAAATGTTTTAAGGAGTGAAGGAAGAAGATTTCACAAATACGGCAAGTTTTCTTGTTGGATTTAATCACTTTCATGCATACCGAACACCTATCAACTCCATTAGAAACTGGAAAACTATCGTAATTGTTAAACAATAACTTTTCAAGTCACGTAAATTTTAGCATACTTACAATCTCCAGGTGCTTGAACGAAATCATTTGGCTGCTCTTCCATACTTTATAAACTTACGTTCAATATTTTAAATTGAACACTTGATACTTGAGTTTCAATCTGGATTTATAGCAGCTTAGATTTCAGATGCTCCCTTTCGAATACCTTTAAGGATCTTGCCATTCCCACTTTATGTAAATTTGCCATCTTCGATATTTATTATTTGTCCTTATTAATCTTTTTAATAATAATCTTTTACAAATTAAGTTAATTTATATATATTTCTATGTATTAAAAATATAAATAATTTATTTGTAATTTTTTAAAACGTATCTTTCACGTCACTTAACATTCAAATCGGAGGCATCTTCGTAACACGTGGGCAATCTCTTCTCGTCAAATCGCTCACGCTTCGTGGATATACCTCCAGAAGGGACTTTCTATGAGAAGTTGGCCCCTATTTACGTGTTACAAACGTGAAGGGAATCCGGAAATATCCCAACACACGGATGAGAAAAAATTAAATAATCTCCGCATGGTACCAAAAAGAGTAATCATTCCTGGAGTTGTGGATGCAGCGTGGACACCAGCTTAATTTAGATTACGGGATTTAATATTTTATTATGTTATGAATTTTCTCTTTGCATATTTCGGGGTGAGATTGAATGGATGTGCGGGATTTGGATTATTTCATATTTTGTGGCAAGAAGAAAGACTTGTTCGAGCAGGATGAACCTTCACAAAGTAGATTTGAGGTATTTGGGCATCGGTCATTCATGTATATTTTCGTCCAAGTATCCACCAGAATATATCCTTGGGGTGTAAATTACTTGTGTGGTGACGAGATGAAAACAATAGCATAAACGGATGTAGAGATTACATTATTCGGCAAGTATACGTGAATTAACAATAAAGTATTCGATACATAATAAGTGACAGGTGACACTATCCAGTTAATTGACCCGAGCAACATAATTTCTCTTTTATTCTCATATAAAAGAGTGTTTTTTGGAATAAAATAAACTTATTGATTTAAAAATGATTTAAATGATTGAATATTTCGGATGAAAGTGTAATTGTTTTCGTTCTATTTTCATCTCTATGTACTTTATTTGTCTTATTCTTTATGTAACGAGGATTATTGTGTCTCTGTAAACGCTTTTAGCTCTATAATAAAAATCTTTCGTTCGATTTGGTATCAAATTCTTTCAAAATTACAAGAAATTTCTACTTTTTTATTGTCTATAAATTGAAATTCACACTAAATACGATTTAAAGCGGTATATTACACTTCTGTTTTCGTACAATCCGCGTGGCGAAGATTAAAGATTATGCCATGCCCTAGACCCGTGCTCCCTAAACTTTTTTCCTTAATGACCCCATATTATTATGGGGATTTTTTCACGACCCCGGGCCGGGTATTAAATATAAGATAAAGACATACCATTATTGCCCATAACTACTTTATTCATTTGCAAGCGAAACAATGTACTGTACAGTACATACACATATAAAAATCAGTTTTAGGATTTGCTTTAATTATACAAATATTAATGAAAGTAAATTAAACTTTAACGATAATGAATAACATGCGATTGTTTCTTCAAATTCAACTGTTTCAATTTAATTTTCGTGGCCCCAGCATTTCGCTTTGAGAACATCATTGGGGTTGCGACCCATAGTTTAGGAAGCCTTGCCCTAGACAACAAGTGACTTGGAAGGCCTTTTCTATGCAGATGTATACAGCGAAAAAGCCCTATTTTTCAAGACTTTATATTGTAAAACGCGAATTGTTTATGATCATGTGTTGGTCGTGGATCGCTCCTGGCTAAGGGACAGACCACTTGGGGTTTTCCGGGTTTTCTTCGCGTTGTCACACCCAAATAGAATCCAATTTTTCGTTAAAAAACATCGCTGAAGCATCCCTTAACTAAACCAACTAAAATAGTACCAGTGAATATTTATTAGCAGTTCTTATAATCATTATGGGTTCGGCCAGGCCCGCAATTGGGTGGTTAGATGGGGTCCCATATATCCGGACGGATCATCCCAATAAAATTTCCTGGGGGTTTGTTGTTCCGTCAGGATTTCATCCCGGGTCCCACATAGCAATATTAACAGTCGACAGTCCTGGGCCAATTATCTGAGTTTAGTAGTTTATCCATTTGACATTAATGGGCATCTTCAATTAAAGTGTCAAAGAAACTTAATTTATTGGAACTCTTGATAGTCCGGTCATTAAGAAATTGACCGGATTATCAAGAGTCTATTGACTCAATAAATCAGTAGACTCTTGCCCAGAGTGGTGCCGTATTAGCGAGAGTATCTGTAATATGATAAACTCGGTATAATATAATAAATAAATAATAAATAAAAGTATCAAATTAAAATTTTTTAATAGCATTTTTATGAAAGATTTTGAAAATCCATAACTATAAAAAGGAATACCAAATAGAAAAATAATTATATAAATATCATAATGTAATGAAATTTTCTTTGTTAAGTTAAAATTGAAATTTATAAGTAAATTTCATAAAGTTTCTTCTTTAATCTTCGTCATATTCTCTAATTCTTCTTCAATTTTGACACTTCCAGACTCATTTTCCGTTTTGGTTTTAGATTCAGGTTCTTCGGTGTTGTTACTGCAATCGATCAACAGAATCTCGTGTCTGCAGTTGGGTTTTTTCCATTGTTTTCTGTGTTGTTTCTTCATTTTTCTCTTTCTTATCAGCACCGGAATATTCTTTTCGTTGTTGCTCGAACCATCGTCTTTCTGTGTATCTTGCTGAGAATTGCCATCAGCCATTCGATGATTCTTATATGTTCCTGTGGAGGTTTTCATTTGCTGAACACGAAAATTAGACGTTTGCAACGTGGAAGATTGTCCATAATGAAACTGTGATAATGGCTTAAAATTTGGATTTAAATCAGGTGCAGGAGGCATAAAAGATCGAAAATTAGAACATGAATTGGGCTTTTGATACGTTGCTTCCGAATTGAAACCATTTAAAGAGGAGAAATTTTGAAAATAATAATTTTGATTTGTTGATGGAACATGGAGTCGTAGTTGAGGCACGAACAATAATCTCTGTTGCTGTTGATTTTTCGTGCTCATTTGAAAGTGTTGAGGAAAATATGGCACAGCAACAGGCCGTCCTTTCTGACAATTTTGCGAATTTTTTGAATCAACTCCATTTCCATTTGCAGATTGCTGGTAAGAAAAATTCACCGTTTGAATTTTCGAATGAAAATAATTATTGCAAAATTGCTGATTTTGATAAATTCTTCGTGAATTATGTGAAGTAAGAGGTGACCTTCCTATCATAGGGATATAGCTCCTCTGGTCTTTATATTGACAATTTGGACGCACAGAAGAAACCGGATTTACCAATTCGTGTCTGAAATCATTTTTTTGTATAAGTTTATTATCGTACAGCAAAGAAGGGCGAGAAATAGGAGAATTCTTATGAAAAACATTAGATCTTCCTTGATTAGACATTATGGAAACTGCTTGATCCGGTCTTTTGAAACGAAGATCACGACACTTAAAATGATATTCGTGTCCTGTAGGTACAGTTGGAGAAGATGTAAGAGAATTGTGCCAATTAACCTTTCGATTTTGTTTAACAGAAGTTGAAATTTTCCATGGAGGACTTCTGAAAATGTAGCATCGATCATTTGTTTTCTCTCTTTCTTGATTAATCTCTGATGATGCCAATTGGTTGTGATTTAAAACAATAGTGTTAGGAGATGTGTCGAGATCGTCTTCATTCGTTGTTTGCTGATTTAATTTACTTTGATTATTGTGATTAGAACTGTAAATTTCAATGCATTTTTCCTAATAAATAAACAATTCAAAATTATTATTAGAATAGTTAAACTTTAATTTATAAAACTGTAACCTCTTTTTCTTCTTCGAGTAACGTTTTGTATGTAATTTTATCACAATGAACTTCTTTTTCAACGTCTGTAACATTCCCGACATCTGTTATTTTCCATTCAACGTGAGAATAAGGGAAATTCTTCCACATCAAATAACTATTACAATCTTGGAAGAAGTGTTGTAGAAATTGTCTGCATTTGTTTAATTTTTCTCCACCTACAAAATGGTTATAAAGAATAAGAAGATTATAAGTGATCCAATAGACTGGATGGCTCTTAAGAAGTCATCCTGACACTATGGGTAATCCACAATCGAATTTGGTCCAACAACATTCCAAGAACTTCTCGATGCGGATATGTAGGTTCTTTTTTTCTCCACTCCATCACTTCGTTGTGGGTCTGACTGAACTTACTATAGACACAAGAAAAGACTATCATAGGTCCTTAAGATTTAGCAAAAAATTTTTCATCAGCAGACTGCCATGAAGACCTATAACTTTCCACTGGTGTCTGTCTATCTGTCCTTCCTTAATCTCGAGAAGGAGTTAGGTAGAAGTAAGTCGATACTAAATATGGAATGCTTAAGAGCGTGAAGTCCCAACTAACTGTAATCGGAAGTTACAGTTAATTCCTGTTATTGAAATAACGTAACTTCCGGTTTGGACCGGAAGTTACGTTATTTCAATTCAGAAATCTTTTCCTAAACGGAGTTAGATAGATGACCGGCACGACTCTTTTGTTAATAGAAGAGTATGATATATGGAGGCAAGACACTACTAAAATTGAGAGCACTGTGATGAAAAATTGCAGCACAGCATTGTGATGACGTCGCAATAAACAATTGCTCGTTATATTTATATTATCAACAACGTGATTATCTTAAATATTTTATAAAAACTTACCAGAATTGCAAACAAATTTCATTCTCAGACATTTTACACTGTTTCTAATGATTTCCATCAGAATATCCTCTACATTTTTATTTTTCGCCCTAGAATAAATTCCTTATTGACACCAAACTTTCGATAGTATTTACAGAAAAAATAATAATAAACAGACGCTTACAATGCTTGATCTACGTCGAGAGTTTTATTCTTAAGTGATTTTTGCTTTGAAGACTTTCCCGAAGCTAATAGTTTTCGTCCAAGATTATAAAGTCGAAATTTTGGATCCGAACGACCGCTTTAAAAATAAATAATATATATTTATTGCTAATGTTTAACATTAAAACATAATACATGTATTTAAACTTTTCGTTGGTACTTTTTCCGCCACGTGGACACTAAGAGGGACCATTTTTTAGGCCAATCGAGTGTGCAAATGGAGCGACCGAGCAGTAAAGAATGGGTGTCTGATATACCCTGAAAATTTTAGGATATTTCAGGACCTGGTCTTGGCCCACACTCCCGAAAAATTACTGGTGTTTTCTCTTGCCCCGTTCCACAGAACTACAAATTCCTAGCAGCATTTCTATGTCTGTCAGACTGTCCTTTCGTAATCTCAGGAATGGAGTTAGATAGAAAAAAACCAGAACCAGATATGGAAAATTTCGTGGCGAGAGGCCCCGATTAACTATATACAAACTTCGTGTATAAACTGGAAGTCATGTTTTTCAATTCAGAAATTTTCTTTCGAACAGACTTAGATAGATGACAGCATGACTACATTGCTAACTGGGAAAGTATGATTTACAGGGGCAAGACATTACTAAAATTGAGAGCGTTGTGGCGATATCACAATAAATAAATGCTTGTTTAATCTATCAACAATTGTTTTATTCATAGAATCTTACTTGATATCGTCGTTTTTATCCATCATTTTCATTTCAAGTTCGATAACTTCTGGCCAGAGGAAAGACTCTAAACTTTTCGTTCGAATGGACACGGGCCAAATGAACGGTTCCATGTCTTCTACAGCGTAAGTCTGGTTGTCTGACTGAAGATACGAACTTAACCAATCTTTCCCGGTTGTTAAGTGAGTATATTTATCCATTTTTGTATCAAGCTATCATAAAAGGTAAAAGTCCACCTATCTGTTGAAGAAATATTAAATTTAAAAAAATAATATCATTATATATAGTACATACCACAATAAGTGGTATACTTTAGATGTTAATGATAACCGAATAACAATCTTAACAAGCAAACCAGTGAAATAATTGAGTTAAATTCACGAATTATAATCTTTCCAATACAGAAGGTTACGAAGAGTCGAACCTGCGAAAACGATCACTCTTTATGTTCTCGTCAGTAGCCGTTGTTTAGAGGTTTCACGAACACCTGGTGCATTTAAATTTAAAATTTTCTAAGAAAATAAATGAAATATTGTAAGAATCATACGAAATTCTATTGTCCTGATCAAAATACTGAAACGAAATTCAATTTGATTATAATATGAAGAAGAATTCATTTTCAAATATTTGTGAAATAAATATTACACACCTTTGTGAGAAACTTTACAGTAAAAACAATTCGAATACCTCGTTTATAACTAGTAAATCGTTTAAGAAATTCTTTGTAAGAACACTTCGAATTCAAATTAAATTCTTCTAACTGATTTCTCCTTGTTCTTTATTACAAACTGGTAAAGACTTTTTAAAATACATAACAGTTTTTCAAGTCTTAAAAACTTATAATAAAACTATTTAATTCCAAAAAATATNTATTTATTTTTTAGAAAATACAAGGGAAGAGGCGCATCCACCGCTTCCAATGACGCACGCCACTGAAACAGAGTATCAAACATTGTGTAAACTTCAAACAATGATTCAACGTTCGATCATCGCTTCCACGAGGTGGCGCTGATCGGACGAGTGCAACCAGCGCCACCTTGTGGAAGCTCTGGACGCAATCGTGGCTAATTGGAAACTGTTTTTATAAAGTTATGGTAAAGAAAAATGTTACAATTTGTATCCAAAGGTAACTTTTTAAGTGGATAAAATAGCGTCCAAAGAACCGTTATTTTGGAATTTCTTATACGGGATAATTTGTTACGCGGGGAATTTTAACACACATTTTATGGTGTAAATACTGAGACAGGAAAATTTGGACTTCTTACAAGTTAGACGGGAAACTATTTAATTCCAAAAAATATAATTTATTTTTTTTATTATATAAACTAAAAAACAGGTATGTCGAGGGAAGATCTTGCCTTCTGCTCTGAAATAGAGAAGCCTATATAAGTATATATACACAGGCTCTATTCATCGCGGTTGCTGTATTTCTACAATTAGTTAACACAATACAAATAGTAAGATTAGTAAGATGCACTGACTATAGCATGCTCTTAAGTATGTCTGGTGTCGAAACGACACGTCAGCCATTAATAGAAAGCACCTGATAGGGACTACGATCCGAAACAATAAGCCTGCAGCAAAATTAGCGACCACCTTAAGTATGCAAGTGTTTGATTTACAATATGGTGAATATCTGGATGCTTTGAAACAGGGCAGTGACGTGCCGTGACTTTTGACGATAGGGAAGCTGTATTTCTATAAGAAGCCGACTTCCAGGGGCAATCAGTTAATTCTTTAAATGTATTTTTAATAGATTATTTATCTGACGTAATTAATAAATAAACAAGTTTAATATAATTATCTCCGTTATTAGATTCAATAGATTCCCTATGCCGTCTAAATGCCAATTCTCGCTTCGATAAAAACATGTAACATCTATTTATTTAGATATAATATATCTATTACCCATAATTATCTCGTTACAATTTTCAATATTTATTTTATATTATTTACTAATGTTAAATTCTATTCCGCTTCGATTTCCAAATTGCTTGAAATACGAAAGAATCGACGATTTTTCGTGTCTTTTGCCAGCTAAATTGTCAAAGACATTCTTATTCCACACACTAATTTCACTTTGTAAATGCATAAAAATGCATTTACAGAGTGAAATTTACAGAGCCATTTTATCGTAAAAATGTCGAACAAATTTTTTATTGAAGCGTTTATATTTAACTTAGGAATTGGCCTTTCTCTTTTAATAATGTTTTCTTTTCCATTATACGATCTCGAGCCAAAACTTTAAAAATAAATTTTCAATATCGCAATAACATTCCGAATCGCTAGCCACGATATAAGGGCTAAAATAAAAAAATAAAATTATAAAAACTACTTGGTGAAATAAAATATAATGTGGTGGATATACATACCTGGTACAAAACCTTTTTCAATTGTATTAATATACTTTTAAAGAAAATTATAATTAAATATAGCTTTGTAAAGAAACATACATAAAAATAACATAAAATATTCTTTACTTTTTAAATCTTAACCACTTAATCAAATAGCTCCCTACGAGTGGAATCAGAGACGGTCCTGTTAGGTGTGCGGTGCGTGCATGCACGCGAGCTGTCAAATCCCGAGGGTCCCCATACCGGTCAATGTCAAATGCCTCTTTTCTGGCATCACTAGTAGATCTCAAAGGGCGCGACAGGGTTGTTGTAAATTTTAAACGTTTCTCACCATAGCTGTAAAAATCTAAATACAGTCGAACCCCCTATAACACTGTTGATTATTCCGTTTTATATGAATTCCATGTTGTACTAGTCACTTAGATTTTACAAATACGTGTGCCGGGCTGTGAATGGCTCATGTATTTGTAAAATCTAAGTGACTCGTACAACATGGAATTCATATAAAACGGAATAATCAATAGTGTTATGGGGGGTCGACTGTATGTTAAACATAATAGTCATTTGTTTTCTAACTAATTATTTTCAGGACCAGATGTCCACAGAAATTTCCAAAATTTACAACTTTTCGGTCACTCTCGTCGAACTGGAAAAATTTCTGTCTTTATTACATCTAATACAGTATTTCAAAGAAATCAGTCCCCACTGTACTCGGCTATAGATTGGGTCGGTTAAGCTTTTAAGTAATATTCCAACTCTTTCAGCAGGGTTTTATTTTGTTCCCAATACCCTAACCTCTTATTTATTTAACTACTTCTTAAGTAGAAATAAGTNAAAAAATAAATACAGTCGAACCCCCTATAACACTGTTGATTATTCCGTTTTATATGAATTCCATGTTGTACTAGTCACTTAGATTTTACAAATACGTGTGCCGGGCTGTGAATGGCTCATGTATTTGTAAAATCTAAGTGACTCGTACAACATGGAATTCATATAAAACGGAATAATCAATAGTGTTATGGGGGGTCGACTGTATGTTAAACATAATAGTCATTTGTTTTCTAACTAATTATTTTCAGGACCAGATGTCCACAGAAATTTCCAAAATTTACAACTTTTCGGTCACTCTCGTTGAACTGGAAAATTTTCTGTTTATATTACGTCTAATATTACGAAGAAATCAGTCTCCACTGTACTCGGCTAGAGATTGGGTCGGTTAAGCTTTTAAGTAATATTCCAACTCTTTCAGCAGGGTTTTATTTTGTTCCCAATACCCTAACCTCTTATTTATTTAACTACTTCTTAAGTAGAAATAAGTGCAAACCGGTTACTTTGTACTCGAATATTTGTAGTCTCGGGAAAAAAAGTGGAAAGACAAATTTTTTATGACAAACGGATACGTAAATCGTAAATTTAAGGAAAATAAATTCTAGAGCTTTTTCTGTACTTCGTGCATCTTTCTCATTCATTAAATTTAGTTGTAAATGATGCTACCAAAGTAATGGATTTTTTTAAACTTCTGTCAACTATACAGAACTATTGTAAAAACATACCAGTAAATTATTATCGGTTGGGTTAAGTTATAAATCTACTCGCGATTCGCGTAATCGGGCGAGGGCGGGCGGCTAACAGCCCTGAATCGGTCCCGGGTAGAATTGGATGCGTTAGGGCTGTTTTACACTATGACCGACTGGACCGACTGGTCCGACCCGACCGATTTTATAATCGGACCGNTCGAACTCTTGATTGGTGGTAGAAAAAATCCAGTTCTGTTTCTGGAACTGTTTGAACTGACAAGGAAATAAGTGAGTTTTCGTGAAATTTTTTAAAAAAATAATTCTTTAATTATAAAATTCTTAAATTTTTACTCGAAGAATACCGTAAAAATTCCTCTTGACTCTCGTCATCTTTCGTAATTTCTTCAGAAACCATGAGTGAAGGACTCGGTGCCCATTGTAGCAAAGACGATGGAAGTAAACTTTAGTAATTTTTAAAAATTTAAATCCTTTTTTGTCACTTTATTTTTTTTAAATACATTTTGTAAGGCAGATGATGAGGAAATTGGACCATGTGCGGTTTGTTATGAGGAGGAACGGGTTGGGATTTGCCAAGGAGTGAGAATTTGCGGTACATGCAAAGTCAGATTCGATTATGCTATAAGAGATTTTTATGATCCAATATGCTACAATGAAGGAGTCTGTGCAAATTCCAGATTAATCTTCCTTTGTGAGTACTGTCGACTGAACAGGTGCTACGAACTGGGAATGAAGTTTATAGATCAATACGGTTTGTAGAGCCATTTTCTGATTATTACTCTCGATACTTGTGTAATTATTAAATGTTTACTCCCTTTAATTGAAGATAAAAATTGCTTCTATCGTGATATACAGCTAAGATTAGCTAGAGAACATGGGTAAGTGTATTTTTAAATTTCTGTACTACCACTCGGTATTTAATATAGCTAAGTATGTTGTAGTGTCTGTATTTATTGGTCGTGTGTGTCTGATAAACTGCTTTTAATACAGGTGGATACACATACCAATAAAATAGTCTTTTTTAAAGGAAACTGGCATTGTTGCATTTTTACTAGTCTGCTGTATTGTGTGAACAAGGTGCGTCTTGCTATATTAGAGCCGCTTTTTCAGGCAGCATTCCCATTTACGTGGTTCCTAGATAATTAAGATTATATTTTATAATGAAAGTTTACATTTATATACATTTTTCTAACGTTGCACTGTGTGTATTTCTTTGTAGGATATCAAAGTAGATGGTGAGGATAAATGGGAGATGTTAACTAAAGAATTCGTACCTCTTAGATATTCTTTTCTCAGTTGGATTTCTGGACATCCCGAATTTCAGGAACTAAGACCTGGATTTCAAGTAAAAACTTCTTTTTTTATTCTCACAATTCAAACTTTTTGCTGTATATGATGCTCTACTTTCATTTTATGCTGAAGTTAATTACGCACATTAAAATTAAAATGGTTAAGAAACTCGTAAACCTAAAATTATCATCTCGATAGCGTAAACAGGAAGGGTCGCCGCCATTTTAATTAAGAAAATTACGTGAATGTAGTAAAACCGTTGTATACGTGTATACTGTATAACATACGTAAGAGCTTATCCACAGTGCCACAGGAATGAATATAAGTTTGCACGTTGTAATTTGGGTTCCCCGATATCGATTCTTCTAGTTACGGCACTGGTTTATCTTCGAAACTTTAATATTTTAAGCAGAAACACATAAATTTACAACCCCTTTTTTCCCTACTGATTTTTACTAAGGAGAATGTCTGTCTTTTGCAAGGACCTCACGAAGCAAAGATACGTAGTCAGAGGGATGATAATGGAAATAGTGGACCGATCGTTTGACGTTCACCTGGTTTTGAAAGTTGGCACGTGCTTTTTGGATCCTTGGAAATACGAGAGTAACGAAAAAACTGTTTTAGTGGGTGACATTTTAGAGTTAATGCCTCTTTTAGATAAAATAGAAATCGATTTATTAATACTGATGAGAAAGTTATATTCTGAAACCGTAAATACTCCATACATTGTAAGTAAATTGTGCCTTTCATAATATACATACATCGTTTTGACAACAAATTGACGCCATACTTGTGGTAATGACATCAATACGACGTATTCAGTAAAACGAATGGTGAGCCGACCGGATGTTTACTTCTGTAAACATCTGGCTCACCATTGGGCAAATGGCGTTTTTTAAGTTTTTTTTGTACCCAACACCTAAATAGGGAGCTAGTTCCTCGTAGAAATAAGGCAACAACACGTGGGCGGCTTCTATCATCAATCCAAGTATAGACGACTTGGATTAATGAATGATAACGACGACAGACTTGGACTTTAATGATTATTGAAGTATTCCTTACAAAAATTTTAGATTATTATACTGTAACCGGAGTATTTCGATAGTAATTTAGACAATATTAAGAAAATTTTAATGTATTTAGTATACTATCTCAGTTTATTTTATAGAAAGGGAAGAGGAGTTCCGATGATTTCGTCGATTTTTCTTAATGACTGAAGACTACAAATTAAGTGTTCCTACAATATTTCTGGTGAGGTTTTGTTTTTCATATTTGTTTTCTTTTCATTAATCTTCTTTTTTAGATAATATCGAAAACAATTTTTATTTCTAGATTTTAACCAATGACTGACTGTTGGACTTTATTATCTAGTTCTTAATAATAGTGAATAATTTCATCTTTACGATGGCGTATACTGTACAACGCTGTTTTTATATTCTTTTTACTCTGATCGGTATACATTTTAACTGTAATAATAAAGTTTGATGGTTTTTGTCTCGTTTAGCATTAATTTTTTATTTATATAATTTTTATAAATACAAATCCAAAAATTTATAATTACAAAGTCTTGTCATAAGCGCAAAAAACAAAAAATCTTAATCTAACGCAAACCTCCCTACAAAATTTCAGAAATATTCGATAAGAGGCACAGGAGTTAAGCTTCAAAGCGGGTGAACAACAGTGTGCACCACAACACACACACGCTAACAACTATACATACAGGGAAAAAAATCAATTTTGGGGGTTCTTCGAGGTCTTAATCCTGGAGGGGAAATGTTTTGACTGATTCAATACTTTCTATTTGTTATATATAACCCCACTCGAATGACCAGAAAGTAGGGAATACATATATAAATTTGTGAAATTTATGCCCTTCAAGCTTCCCGTCTGTTATGAAAATTTATTTAAAAAATAACTTTTATATTATTAATCGCAATATTAATAAATCGTGTGGCGCCATCTGTTTTAAAATTTTATAATAATTAAAAATATACAAGACAACTGTAAATGCTAACAACAGGTAAAATCCAATCCCTCTCTAGTTATGACATATGACAACCCTCTATTTCCTTATCCCCTCGTCTTTTAACCACCAAAGATTAATAGCATCAATGACTCCATAAAAGGTTAAAGGGCGAGGAATAAACTGATTTATTTAAATTCTGGATTGTGTACATTACTTCCTGTGACGAAATTCCTTTTATTAACCGTTATGAAAGACGAGTATAATAAAAAAAAATTTTTTTTTCTGGTTGAGACTTGAATGCGAATACTTTTTCAACAGAAAATGTACAATATTTATGTCGGTAATTACGTTGTTTATTAAACACTATAAGTGGTGTGACCAGTCTACTTGTGCGTAAATGACGACAGGTGAGGAGTGACGTCATTCGTGACGTTACCAATTAAGTTTTCGGTGATGCGACCAGACACCGCTCCGAAAATACAGTTATTAAATTAATTAAAGATTAAAATTATGTTTTTTTTTTTTTTATGTATAACTATTCATTTGAGGTGTGTGAACTTGGCTTTTTTCTTTTTCTTAAGACAAAACGAAGGCTGTAATTAACGACGACAGCCTGAACTTTATGACGTTATAAAACCGTTTCCGTACACGGAGATGTCGGTTCATTGCCTTACAGCGACGACATTTCGTGACCAGATTACTGGTGATGATCCGTGTAAAAGTGACCTATTTACTAACTTCCTCTACTACGTGGAGTTCAGTGTGGGTGTTCTACGTGTTGTATAAACAGTTTACAAAATGAAGGATCACAGGACGATATAAGAAATGTGTAAATCGCACAGGAAATTATACGGTATTTATCTATTTAAGTAGGTTTGTCTAATATATAAAAGTATACATTAAGTTAAGTTATACATTATATTTTCCCCCCGGCTGTTATATATATATATATATATATATATATAACAGAGGGAAAGTATGGCGATCGGATTAAAAATCCCCCAAGGGTTTTATATTTTTGGACTCGGTGAACCTTGAAAAAGTCGGAGGGTTGTATGTGTTGTTAGTGAGTATGGGGGCACGATTTTGTTTACTCCGTTTGAAGCTTAATAACTCCCGTTTCTTTTGTCGAAATTTTCTGAAATTTCCTCCCCCCCAAAGAAAATTTTCTGAAGTTCTAACCCTATATGAGGGCCCCTGATTTAAATTTGCTGGGTCCCATGAAACTATAACGCGCCATTGAAGGGACTTACTAATGTGGATAAAACCATAGAACACTGGTCGCGGGTTCGCACCTCACTAACAGTCTAGCCACGTGGATTGTTTAGGCTTTTCGTCACGTAAATAGGAACCAGTTTCTCCATAGAAAGTCCTGCCGGGGCCTCCCCTTGGCAGATTGCCCACTTGTCGCGTTGCCGTAAACAAACAAAACCACTTTAAAAGGAGCCCACCTCATGAGCTTAACTCCAGCAGTTATTTTGTAAAATACAGTATATTTAACACTATTTTTAATGTTATCGAATAATGTAATTTAATTAACGAAGGTCGTCACTAAATATTCAATTTAAACACTGTAAATCGATACACACACAAAAAAGAAATTCTAGACTTCTGTATTTATTAGCCTATTGTTTACCAACGTTGTTCATAGGTCAAGTCGTTACCACGTGAATCGCCTCATGTGATCAATAACACTTCAGCCGGGAATGGCTGCTTGAACGTTATGTTTACAGTGGTTCTATCGAACTCTCCCTTCCGAACTGAGTTAACACTTAATTACGGTGAGTAACATTAATGTCGTTTAATTAAAAATACCCTTATATCTCTAAATATTTAAATTTAATATACTTAATTGTATTATCAGCTGTTTCTCCTTATCTGATAACGACCATTCTACTATGAACTAAAGCCTAGTATTTACAATAATAAAACTAATGATACAAAAAGGGCCTTAAATGCCAAGCTATACAGAGGCCCTTTAAAGATATTTTCGTATTAACTAAGTAAAATTAACTTTATTGAGGCCCTTTATAAATACGGAACCCCAAAATTTATGCATTATTCTGAAAGGAGCGGGTGATTTGCAAGAAAATTAATTACAAAATATTAAAATAATATAATTAAATTACATATTTAATACAAATAAAATAGCTTATTTTAGCATTTGGGGTGTTTTATGCCACTTTAATATAAATTTAGGTCAGTTTAAATTGGCAAATCGGTTTAAATATATTTAACCACAAGACAATATAAAAAAATTGTAATCTAATTGTGTAATAAGCTTGTTTTAGTTTAAATAACTTGATAGTTTTTAAGATAAATTCAGTGAAACCTGTTTATTTAGGAGTAACTTTTCTCAATATTACAATTAGGATTTAAATACAATTAATTAATTAATATTCCCTAAAATCCCTGAGCTTCGTTAAAGAGGTTTATGCGGCAAAACAATTGAAAAAATAGGTCGTCAAACTGAATAAATTGTATTGTTAACGACCTCTGCTAAACAAGAACAATGCGCCGCATTATGCAATAACTAACAGAGAATCATCAGAATGAAGGGAGTAATAATCGGGGTTGCTGCACGTGCAGTGAAGACGTGCTCACGATCCAAAAGGGCCCAGTTCTGGACATCAATACTAGAATCTTATATCAGGGAATCCCCCTTTAAATTCGTTGGTGCATGACTCCATGCAATTGTTTTTAGTAAGATACTTGTCATTGATTTTATTGTGTTAGACAACGAATCAATAATGAAACAGACAACTTGAAGCACATCTACAGAAACTGAACGATCGATAACAGTATAAGCCAATGGAGGAATTAATGGAACGTTACTATAAAAGCTGTATAATTTTCTAACTTTTTACCACGCCGGTAAGATGTTACGAATCTGAAAGGCCCTAAACGTAATAAATTTTCGGGCCCATCTCTTCGTAAAGTTTATAGAAAAAATAAACCCTATAACATGTCTTTTAAGGGAGTAATAATCACTACGTCAGCTGAAATTTAATCGAGAGCCATCTTAGATTCAGAGACCCAAAACAATAGATAAGAAATAGAACAGGCGATTAGTTTAATATTTTAGGAAACTACCGTCGGAAGCACTGTCTTTCTAAATCACGAATGGGAAAATCGATGACATAATCCGTTTAATGAAACGAAATATGTCATTGGTTTACTTATCCAGCTGTATTAAAGCCGCTCTAGCACGCGGCTTTAATACAGCTGGATAAGTAAACCAGTTTTATCTTAAATTTGCATCTTGCCAACATAAAAGCTTGCAACATGCAATTTATGTAGGAAAGTTTCAGCTAGAGGACATTATTATTTTTATAGAAAAATAATAAAAATTAATGATTCCCTCGAGCTAAAACTTTCCTATATATGCATTTATGTGATCACAAAGTAGCAATTATTGTACACATGTTTTCTTAGAACTGACGAAAACTATATTAAAAAATCCACTTTATTTTTTCTTGAAACTGATAGAGGATAGATAAATACTAATGATATATTTTAATCACCAATTAAGGTGTTAGCCTACCGCTGTGAGGACACAGATTCGAATCCGGGCGAACAATCCCAATAATTTTCCTTCTCCCAAATACGTTTGGCCCAATTCCTCATCATCCAATCGCTTCTATTATGTGGCTAGCCGAATCCAAGAAGAATATGGAAAAGATTTCTCACGGAACGGAAAACCAAAGAGTAACCACAAAAATTGAATTTCTCAATTTAGATTTCTTAGTATACATTTAAAATAATTATATAAATAAGTTTATTTTCTTCTTATTTCCCCGCAAAAATTTCTATTTTTATGTTTAAATCTATCATACGACCTTCAATGGCTGAAGTCACGCGGAGTGATAAAAATCGAAATTACGACAGGCAATTTAGTTTGTTTGTTGTTTTTTTTTTTTCGAGGAAAACTTGTAGAATTCTCTACCTTCTTTCTTTCTGATTATATCTTAAACCGGTTTCAGACATAATCTCTTTATTATTTTTTTTACATGTTTTACTTCCGTATAAATAAATTTCCCTGTCTTTTAGCAGACCAAGGCTGCTAACTAGTTAAGTAATATGAAAGAAAATAAATTAATTTAATCAGACCTGTATAGGGAAATGATAATAAAATTACATATAATTACAAAAATGCTCTTAATAATAGGAAAATAATCTTTTGACATTGAAGGAAAATTCAACAGCGATAAAAGATTTATATGAAAAGATAATCGAGGAAAATTAATTCTTATATTTTATTGTTTTAGTAAATATAAAATGTACAATTAGTTATAAATTTTAAAAAGATTCGATTATTTATGGCTATTATTGTGCTATTAATTAAATACTAAAATTAAATAATCTGTCTCTAACTTATCCTAATAATCAAATACAGTAGAGCCTCGAAAACTCAGCACTCGATAACCCGGCACTCCGGATAACTCGGCCACACCCTGGCAGGGCAAAAAAATCCTTAGTTAATTAATTTTCATGATAAAGACAGCTTTATGCCTCATAAAGTGTTTTTCTGCGGTCTGTCTTATCAGGTAAATTACTGTACAGTGTATTCATTCATTTTCATTCATTTTCATTTTCATGTAGTAAAGGCTCTATGCCTTCATAAAAGACGTACTTTTCCTTTGTTTAAGGGTATTTGGGCAGTTTATTCTCTGTTGTATTCTCAAGTAAACAATACATACAAGTACAGTACAATATTTTCTGAGGAAACACTCGTACTTATTTATTATAACCCCATTCCCGATAACCCGGCATTTTCACAAACTCGGCCATCTTTCGGTCCACATTAGGCCGAGTTTTCGAGGCTCTACTGTAATACTGTATTTAAAAATTAATTAATTTTGAGTACTGTACATTAAAAAAATATAGAGAATGTAATTTAAAATACTTCTTTTTAAAAAAATATATATTTTATTTCTATAATAAATACAGATACATTTTACTATAAGAGAATAACCTATCTAAAGAGGACACATTGAAAAGCAGAAACCTTTCTAACGCTTAAAAAAGGAGACGTTTGAGTACCGATTCTATAATATAACCTGAACAAAGTGGAATTTTTCCGCATGCCAGCAGCTTAATTATAAATTATAATTTAAAAATTCTTTCCTCTATGCGTCACATACACGTGTTTCGGTATTTTCTTCTCATCTTCCAAACAAAACACTTACATTAGAGAAGAAGCAGCTATAAATACCTGTATAACATCTTTTCATTTGTTCTACGTTAATAAAATAATCCTCATTGTGCCGGTCTGTGAACGGCTCACGTATTTGTAAAATCTAAGTGACTCGTACAACATGGAATTCATATAAAACGGAATTATGAACAATGTTATAGGGGCAGTGGCATAGCGAACATAACTGGCGCCCGGGGCACGACACTTTATTGGCGCCCCTCCCCCTCCATAAACACATATAGTTTGTCTTGGAGACCATTTGGGCGCCCCTCTGCGAGTGGCGCCCGGTGCATGATACACCCCTTGCACCCCCTTCGCTACTCTACTGTATAGGGGGGTCGACTGTACTATAAGAGATATACGAATTTACACGGCAAAAGGCATTGTTATCTTTACAATATATAATCCTCATTTTTGAGGTACTTCAATATAACGCCATACTCGACTTAGTATCAGTTTTCAAGGAAGAAATCGTGGCGTTAAATTGATGTTTCACGGTACATTAAATAATTTATATACAGTATTATAAATTTTTTATTGTATAAAAATACTTATTGTTACCGATATTATTTTACAGGTTATTATATACGTTAAGCGGATAATATTCTAACAGAATATCGGAATTAAAAATGGCAGTTCCTATCTTTTTTAAAATTCTGGGAATATTCCTTATCGTATACTTAATTTTCTCAAATTCTTCTCTGAATCTGGACTTCAAACCCGTTTCCTATAAGTAAGTAAAATTCTACTTATTACTTTAGCGTAGGCATAAAATTCCTATAAATATTTTCCCCACCATATTCTTCTCAAATTAAAATTTTTCCCACTATTCTTTTCTGGACACTATCTTTTACAGCTGAAGGTTTGAAGTCATTAAACTATTCCTAATAACTATTAAGTTATCTCACTTTAAAGAATGTATTACTGACGTAAAACGGGGATGCCTGTACAGTAATATCATTAATAAGACTATAAACTGAATACAATCAAACCTCTGAACAACGGCCACTGATATGAACATAAAAAAAATATTAAGTTTTTTTTTTTTTTAACTTTCCACCTTGCGTGTTCTATGAGGACCTTTCTAGCAAGCCCATTATGAGCTTGCTTAAAAAATGGTCCTCTTAGAGCCCGCTATAAAAGGCCCTTTGGCCAGGTGGTAAGGGATGGGGGCAACGTTTCCCGACAGATCACTCCTGAAAAATCCCTTTCTCGATCCATCCCGTGTCTGCTAGAGCGTAGATTGCCACGTTAACTACTCGGCCATCTGACCGTTAAAGAAAAAATATTCGGAAGTGGCCGTTGTTTGGAAGTTTTTTTATTGCATTTTTGTCTAAAAAGAGCTTCTTAAAATGGCCGTTGTTACAGGTGTTTTTTTTTTATTGAGAGATGGCCACTATTGAAGATTAGACTGTACAACGAAACAGTCACAGACAATAGCTATATTTATTATACCTGTGCTAATTGCATAAATGGTAATGCCGTAGTAATTTTTTCAAGTTCCTAAAACTTGAAAAAATAGTCTCGGGTACCGGAAACACAAAAATTTCTACTCAGAAACTCTAGTAATAATATTTTTTGTATTATGTTACTTAATTATTTAAACTGCCTTCTTATAAATCAGAATATAATATTTATCAAGTTATTATTTTATGTAGAATTTCGCTTCCAAAAGCGTTTGAAGGACCCTTAACTGTAAACAATAATTTGAGTGACGCGGAACATATTTTTGAAGGACAAATAACGAAACCAGAATCGCTTGCTCTTCTAAATGGTTAGTGTTTTAATTCAATTATACATTTACAAAAACAAAACAAAATTATTTATATTCTTATTCCATAAGTAAATATTCAAATACAGTAGACCCCACTATAACACTGTAGATAAATTCCGTGTTATATGAATTCCATGTTGTACGAGTCACTTAGATTTTACAAATACGTGAGCCGTTCACAACCCGGCACACGCATTTGTAAAATCTAAGTGACTCGTACAACATGAAATTCATATAACACGGAATTATTTACAGTGTTATAGGGGGGTCTACTGTATATTAAACATTCAGTATTTATAATTACAAAATTGACTGGAATTTTATTTGGCTATAATATGGCTAATTATTTATTAAGATACTAAATAATTTGCTCTATAGATAGGCGATTATGTCGTCATCTGGTGTTAAATATAATTATTAGAAATAAATAAATAATATTTTTAAATCAAATTTAAAATATAGATATTTGAATGATTTAAGTAATGAATATTATTTTTTATTTTTATAGGAGTTATTTATACAGGAATATCAGATGGAAGGATAGTCAAAATAGAAAATAATAAAATTTCAACTGTAGCGCAGATTGGAAACAAATGCGGTTAGTAATTAATTTAAACATTTTAATTGTTAAACTCATAACTTAGTTTTCAAGTTTAATTAACTTTAATTAGAAGGAATATGGGAACAACATAAATGTGGCCGTGTCTTAGGCTTGAAATTCGATAGTAAGAACAGACTTCATGTAGTCGATGCGTATTATGGAGTGTATGTTATTGATATACAAACAGGTACGTTTATTGTTACTTTACTTCTTTAAATGTTGCTGTGACTTATAATACAGATAATTTATTTGTTACTTTAGGTAAAGTCACTTCATTACTAAAGTCGTCAGCCATAATTGATGGAAAACAATTGGTCTTCATTAATGACGTTGCCATCGATGATGATGGTATTATATACATAACAGAATCAAGTAATCGATGGCCATTAAGTAGAGTTTTGTACGTAGTCCTCGAACACGAAAGTACAGGACGGTAAATATGACTTTTTAAATTATTTTTACCTTGAAGGCACTAAGATCATTCATCCGTGTCCATCGTGGATTCGGCCAGATCCACAATGGGGGCGGTGAGGATCGAGGATTGACTGATTCAGGTCAGAGCACCCGTGAAAAATTGGGAGGATGCATGCCTGAAGTCGATCCCGGGACCCTCAGAGCAGACACTTTAACTGTCTCGGATATTCGGCTATCCAAGGTAATTGATATCAAATTGGCATGGATAAAATGTGAGAAAATTAGAAAAAACAAAACCCTTCTATTGTATTTGTGTTGTCATATAAATTCAAATAAATGAAAATACAGTATTGTAAATGCCAATTTTATTATCCGTGCTTTTTGGGTTACCAGGCTTATCATACGAGATTCCACTGTATTTATACGCCAAAAACGAAAATTTTTGGTTGTTTTGGGCATATTTTTTAATTGATGCTATGAAGAAAGTGCAATTCACTGAACGATTAATAGATATTCGTGTTAATTATAATAATAATCTAATATTATAATAAATAAATTGTATACATTTCAGAGGGGCGGATTTGTGGGCAGGTATCCTAGGAACGTGATTAGGGTCTCCATATAAAAAAGGAAATAATAATTTTAAAAAAGAGAAACGAAACAAAAGACGTGAGGAATGATTTAAGAAACGTAATACAGTAGGCTATATTTATAAATACGATGTAAATTTAAAATAAGGAATCTATAGTATAAGTTGCGCGATACAGGGGTTTCTACAACTGTAAATGCCATGGGCCCTCACTAGTTAAATTAAATTATCTATCCTGTATTTCAAGAGCAAAACAATATAGTGATTTTTTGAATTTTTTACAGAGTTATTAAATTTGACCCAAAGACTAATAATGCCACAGTCTTGATCGATGATTTACACTTTCCAAATGGGATCATTCTCTCTCATGATAAGAAATCACTTCTAATTGCTGAAACAAATAATCATAGAATCTTGAAGTAAGTATTTATTGTCTTAATTCAACTTAAATTAATATAATTATATAATATATTAAAATATATATATATTTATGACTAGATATAATCTAGATGCCAAAGCATCAGAAAAGTTGGAAGTGTTCGTTGAGGGGTTACCAGGAGAACCAGACAATTTGAGTTATGGCACAAAGAACAGCTATTGGGTAGGATTAACTTCTGGTAGAAATGCGTCCAAGCCAAATTTGATGGATTTAACTTCCCAATATCCAATAATCAAGAAAATATTTGTTGAATTTCTATATTTTGTTGGATTCTTATTTAGAAGCATCTCTCAATTTTTATATTCAGAGAGATTCAAGACGTTAGCATTTGAGGTAATCGCGACTTTTTTGTTTATATTAAACTTACGATTAATTAGGTTAAAATTAAAAGCTTATTTTAATGGGAAACCATACCTTTTCTTACTGGAATAGACAGGGAGGACAATTAAGAACTTCAGGTGTCAGTTGGGCAGAACAAGCACCTAAAAAGGAGCACAAAACTACTACGTCCACGTCGTTACTCCTGGGTAGTTTTTTTTTCTTGTTTTTTTAACTCTCCGCCCTGTGGGCACTAAGAGGGCCTCTTTTTGCAAGCCCATTATGGGTTCGGCCAGGCCCACAATGGGGCTGCCGGGTGGCGTGGGACGGGGCCCGACATATCCGAACGGACCACCCCCCGAAAAATTCCTGGGGAATTTTCAACTTGTTCGGATTCGAGCTCGGGTCCCCTAGAGCGGTAGGCTGCCACCTTGACAGCTCGGCCATCCAGCTGCTACTCCTGCGTAGTGCGAAAAGTAGTGAATGCATTTAAAGATGAAAGTAATACAGTTGTAAAAACCAGTAAATTGTCCTCCCTGTCTATTCCAGTAAGAAAATGTATGGTTTCCCGTTAGAATAAGCTTTTAATTTTAACCTTAAAATAATCTTGATCTTTGACCTAGACCTTAGGATCAAGGGTATATCTGAATGTAAAATTTCCTGCTCTTTCCATTTCCGGGGTCAAAAATGTGTGTTCCCATTGAAAAAACTGACTTGACTTCCAAATGACCTTGAAGGTCAAGGTCACGTCTGAGGTCACCAATTGCTTGCCCCTCGATATCCTACAACTTTTGTCTACACCTTTTTTCCAAAATAATGAGATCCAATTAAGATAATTCATTGTCTCAAGATAAAAAAATACACCCCGTATATATCGACTCTGATTAAACCAATTAGGACATTTCACTTAATATGTCAGACAATATGTGAATTTTATTTTATTTTCTCTCTCTGCATGGCAGAACGACTTTTCCGTTCATTTTTTGTAGCACTCTTAACTGTAAAGAATCATGCATTTAACTACCACCATAGCGAACTTCATCTTATTCCAATACCAGAACGTGAAGCTTCCATAATACTGTTTATAATAGCGGCGACGTGTTTAACAAATGAGGAAGAAACCGGAAGTAACTTACCACAACTAAGGGATCAACGGCTGATGAATTCCCAATTTAAATGTTTTATGTTTAAAAATCTAACAAACTTTTCGGTTATTCAGTTAAAATACATCATCCCCATAAAGGCATTCTTGATTCAAACCTACCTGCATGCGACTGTATTTTAAAACAAAACCTTCAGCAAAAAAATCGACTCAACATTAGGAAAAATGTCTACATTTAACAAGTGTAAAATGAATAATTCTAACGTATATTAATAAGCATTATTTATTTTTAACACTTTCCTCCATATGACCACTAAGAGAGCCTTTTAAATCACATCCATTGTGAATTGCTGGTCAGATGGCTGAGGCACTTAAGATTCAGATTACTCTTCTAGTAGACCAGCGATTGAATCCGAGCAGTCAGTAACTTTTAGGAATTTTTGGTCTGTCCTTGATACGTTAGGTCCCATCCTTCACCATCCAACTGTTCCATTGTGCCTGGCCAAACCCACAATGGAAGTAGAACCGAGTGCAATCGGAGCCACCTTGTTAGAGCGTTGATCCCACGTTGAATCATAGAATTTGAAGCTTCTTGCATAATGTAAGTTGCCCTTTTTTATGGATTGTGCTCCCACTTTTTTATAGTATGCGGGTGCTGTTGCTTAGATATTGGTTCTGTCTTCAACACTGTTGTGTATACTCCCGTTTTCTCTTCAAACAGCACTTGTAACTAAGATTTACATAAAGTTTTTTTTATACTTTTGTACGTAGATTCATAGAATAATAATAATAATAATAATAATAAATACTCAGAACAATATGATTTATACCTTCCTATTTTTATTTTAAACAGATTGAAACTGGGCAGATTTTTGTACCAATAATTCCAAATTATGGTATGATTATTGAAGTTAATAATGACGGAGAAATCATTAAGAGTCTTCATTCTCCAGATGGAAAGATGACGTATATTTCAGAAATCTTGGAATTCCAGAATCACTTGTATTTAGGATCTTGGAGAAATAATTTTTTGGGAAAACTGAAACTCTAATTTTTTTAATGATTTAGAGTTAAAATAGAGTTTGTCCACGTCATCTTCACCCATGCTTTTGAATAATATTTTCACATTAAATAGTATAGTGATATATAGAAAAATATCCAAAATTAACTGTAAATTATGGCATGACAATACTCCATTGCTCAATTGTTTTGCAACATTGTTCCTTTATGAAACTGTGCAATAAAAAGGTGGGAAAAATTTATTTTAAGTATTAAATTATGTTGGATTTATTGAAGTTGGAGCAAGCGTAATGAATTATATAGTGAATTTTGCCCATTATGGCTGTCATAATCTGTAGTAATGCATAGAAAAATACTATTTGCTCTTGACACAAAGCCTTTTTTTAGTCTCCGTTGGTGTAATTCTTGATGCAAGAGATTAACTAGTCCCTAGAAATATAAGGTAAGGACAGAAAAATCAACTGAAATTTATTTGGGACTTAAGAAAAAGTATAAGTAATGAAATCCCATGGAACTTCACGAGTAAAGAAGTAAGCAAGATGAATATTGCAAAGGATCCAGATTTGAATCCTAAAGGACAGATTTAACTGCTTATAATAAACATATTTTATTACTTAAAATTTTAGATATTTGTATAAACTTTGATAAGTAAAGCTTTGTATTTTTTTATTTTACTGATGTTATGAAATAAAATTACCTTCAAATTATTTATTAGATTTGGTTGAATTTTTTCAAAATGGATGCAACGTTCGGTTGGAAGTTCTTCCTTCTGTCCCTCGATGAGTCGTGCGACACAGGTTCGGACGAAAGTCTCGGGAGAAGGGTGAATCTGGGCGAAGCAAGACGTCACGGGAGAGAGACGATAAGTCTCAGGAGTCGACAAATCCGTCGCTGATGATCTGCAGGATCACTGAAGCGGAGCACCAAGAACCAAGAACGTCACATCCTTTTGACTTCCATCCGGGACCTCACACATTGTCTGAACCAAAGAAATGTCTCGCACATTACCAATGTTGAAATATTATTGAAAATTTATAAAACAATTCCTTCATCTAATGCGTCAAGAGAAAGGTCGTTTTCTGTTTTAAAGCGTATAAACATTATTTAAGGAGTACTACCGGAGACAAAAGATTAAATAATATGGCCATTCTGTATATAGAGCAGGAAGTTTTTAATCGAATTGATACTGCTAAAATAATTGACGAATTTGCAAAAAATAAAACAAGACGGTTTGTTTAGTTAAGTTACGGCAACTCAACACTTGGGCGATGCCTTTCGGGAGGTCTTTTTAAGGGAAACTGGCTCCTATTTAGGTGTTATAGACGTGGAGAAATCCCGGAAAAATCCACATGGCCAACTCGCCCAAGCGAGGAGCGAACCCACGACCGAACTCCCAGTGTTCAAACCGCTTGGCCACTGGTACAAAGGGTACAAAGATCGCTTGGCCACTGGTGGGATTCGCTTGACTTGATCCGCCGCTGGTATAATATTGAAAATTTACTGCAAAATTTATATTCATATTTTTCTCAAAGTCCAAAGTGACAATCAATACTGTCTGAATATTCATCCAAGAGTACAGTATATTAAAAAGTCACAGCTTAAAATAATAAGTCCCAGTAAAACATGATGGCTGGCATTATCAACATGTGTAGATCATACAGTACAATGGCAATGGGATGTGTTGTTGGAAGTTTTTCGAGTGACAGAATTTGAAGAAAAAAATCAACAATGTCAGTTTATTTTTAATCAAATGAAGAATCCATATGTTAAAGCTTATCTGTTATTTTTAAAATGTAGCCAATATTATCTATATTCAATGAGTTTAATGCTTTCTTCCAATCCGAACACACTTTAATATCTCATCTTTACATAGAAAGTGTTCGTTTTATTAAATTATTAGCCTCTAATTTTATCAAACCAAAAGTATTATCGGCTTATGATGATGATGATAATATTGAAACTCTTAATGTATATAATCCACATCATCGTAAACAACAATACGCCATTTTTCAATGTAGTGTTGTCTATTCCGTCAGAATTTTCTGAAGAGGATTCGCTGAAATGGAAGCGGAATTTTCTGAATTGTTGGGAATTGTAACTTGAATGTTTGCAGCTCGGAATTTGGATCCTGCTACTGAAATACGTGTTCTTGCAAGTTGTATCGTGGGCATAAAATTGCAGGACCACCTCAAAAGTAACATAAATCCCTCTTAAAAGTAAACCCATTGTCAACAACCATAAATTGGTGCATTTTCACAGTCCGAGTCTTGGGTATTAAACCATCTGCTCTGTTTAGATGTTCATCGTATGGATGTTCTACAAAAATCAGCTTGGTGGTGGACCTAATGTGATTGTAGAAAATTGTTTGATATTCTTTCTGTGCCTGAAATGGGCGACATTTTTTTCTTATTAACAAACTTCTTAGGGATCAATTCCTTTATAAGTTTTTTGCAGTTGTGTTAATAGTCTATAAACGTATTGTAAGGACATGCAGAGATAACTGGCTAACTTTATAAATATTCATGTTAAATAACTTGGTTGCTTTGAAAAAAACATCAACTTCCCAAATGGCAAATATGGCGAGAATTTGTATGACATGATATTCAGTTTAACCAAGTTTTTTTTTAATAAACGAGAAGACTCATCAATTCTATCAAATGGGCAGAGTAACATCATTGTATATAGAGTAATATAGGGTTGCTAATTGTGGTTTGTAGAAAATTCTTATGAAAAGAAGAGGTAAAAGAAAATTTGGGGACAACTGTTCTACATTTTTTTTTCTCTCTTTCAATTAATTATTTCTGTAAATATAGCTCAAATATATAAAACGAGTAAAAATTAGTACGACATCTCACCATGCCTAGCTGCAATTTTTATTTTAAAATAAATAAAATTTAGTCGCCTTGCCCCTGTACATCATACTTTTCCTGATAACAGGTGTCATGTCGGTCATCTAACTCCATTATGGAGAAAATTTTTTGAATTGAAATGACATGAATTTCGGTGCAGACCGGAAGTTCGTATGCAGTTAATCAGGACCTCTTGACCTAGCTTCGAAATTAAGGAAGGGCAGGCAACTGACACCAGTGGGAATAACTGATACCTATAAGAATCTCTTGCCATAATCTGCTTCTCTTCAGTTAAAATATCCGTGAAATAACGATTTTATAAAAGCGTGCTGGTACTCAAGAGGGACAAAGATGAAATGAAATCTCACCTCTATTTTTAATTAAAAATATCAGACAAAAATTAACGTTATTCTATTCGTTTTAACTTAATATTGTGTAGCTGTTAGCCATATCCAAAACTTTGTCACATTTTTACCATACTAAGACAATTCTGATTTTATGTATGGGGGACAACTATTATCAGTTTGTACCAATGTTGAAAAACCTCAGCTATTTACTCACTATAATAAATTATATTTTTGTTATTAGTTGGCTGTTAAATTATTTCAAAGGCATACATATAAACAGAGGTAAAACTAGTGTTATGCAATTGGAATAAAACATTATGATAGAACATGGAATCCCTTTTTGTCCATGAAAATTTTGTTTCCAGCCTCATAGATGACCATACCCCAAGCATTGCCATAGACAGTTCAAACAACAGATGAATCCACTGTCCACCAACAAAGGCAAGTTTGAGAGGACTTCTGAGAAATTTCAGTTAAATGAGAAGTTAGAATAAGTCTCATTCAAACTTTCAGATGAGTGTCATCTCAGACTTGTTCATTCATATCAGCGTCATCTTATTCTTGCTTCTCGTGGACCAATCCTGAGAGTTCAAGTCCATGGGACCAATTAAAATAAGTTCCATCCTCAATGATTAGATCAAGTCCTCTTATCGTTTATCGAATCATCTCTGATAGGAAAAAAACAACTCTAGTTCAAATCATCAGAGGGAAGTTCTCTCTCTGACCAATGCACCAACTAGAACACAATTTAAAAAGAACATAATTCTTTCATGTAAATTAATTAATTTTAACTCGTCTTTGTCAAAAAACATTAGTCTCCTGTCTCCTCCTTTCTCTAATGGTCTTGTACTTGCCCATGAAAAAAGGGTTAAATCCTCACATCTGTCTTGAGTCTGTACTTTTCCATAGAAAAAACCAAATGGTGTCAGACATCCTGATATAATACCTCACTCTACCATTGTTGGATAATCTAATGGTAGTTATCTGCCAATTGTTTAACCAACACTGGTGAGGGAGTTTACCATAGTGCTGTTTGCTAGCAATAATATCAATATAGCACACAAAAGTTAAATTACCTTACTCAACCTAGTGAAATGTGTTATGACATCAAACTGATTTCATTTCACTACAATTGTTGGAAGAATTAAATCTGGCTTAACAATAGAAAAGAGTTGAATTTTCTGTTATATGTGACAGACTGAATTGCAACAGAAGAATATTACATAAATCTTGATTTACAATTAATAAAATTTAACCTTAATTCTCACAAGAAAAAAAAACAATAATCAAACCTTGACAGAGCCTCTCTATATAATAACTCACCTAAAATGCTAATGAATATTTGTGACCAGATTTTTATCAATGCAAGCAAGCATGACATAAATTTTCTTTACTTCTGGTACTATGTTTTGCATAATACCTTACATACTCGGTATTTTTAAAACAATTTTTATAGTATTGGAAGAATTTTTTCGTTATTTTTAATAAAGGTTACCACAGAGATGTCACTGAATAGTACCATATCAGTTCATTTACATTTAGTTTACATTGCTACCAATTAAGTTCTCTTATAACAGAAAATAAGCTGGCACTTGTAATAATGCACTTGTAAATGCATGTTCTTATATGCATGCTGTTACATATGCTCTTAAAGTGGAGCAGAATATGTTTGAAAAACACAAACCAATTTTCATGTATAAGAGTATGCTCTTATTTGTACAGAAATACAGTATATAGGAATCGAGAGAGGGCCAATTTATGCTCCGCAAATTTCTTTGATATCCGAAAAATCCAATTTGTTTAACTTGTATCATTGGCAAATTTCTGAATTACTTCGTTTTAGTAACTTAAATCAAACACAAAACTCAATCAACATGAACATAATTTAATTAGGAGGAACAAAACCAAAATTGTGAGAATTATAATAATGTGTCATTTAAATTATCCTCAAAATCTTTTGTTAAATCATCTGTGATATTACAAGGAATTGCATAATTATGTAAATAACAGAAATGTGGTAACAGAAAATTACTGTCTAGCATTCACAATCTGTACAAATTCAGGTTTCAGTGATGCTCCTCCAACGAGAAAACCGTCCACGTCGGGTTTCTTTGCCAATTCTTTACAGTTGGCTGCAGTCACAGAACCTGAGAAATAAAAAAAGATCATTATGTTAATCTATTAAAAATAGCGAATTTAAAAACAACGTTTATTTTTATTTAAAATCTGAAATTCAAACAATATGTTATGAAATTAGCACAATGCCCCTTTGCCTTGTAGAAAAACAATCACTAAAAATGGCAAGATTCTCATAGGAATTTTTGTTTTTCAGAAAACCATAGCAAATGTTGCCATCAGCCTATGGTAAGATATCAGATTTGGCTGGGAAACTTACAGGGACAAAGTAATATATGATGAATCCTCAAAGCGTAGGGATTTTGGATTTCTCTACTAAGTGGATTGCATTAAAGAAAAGGGAAGTAATAACTTACAGGTCATCTATGTAGTATTCTGAGTAGGTAAGAATTAAAATGCTAAATTTTATGTATGAGAAATTGCTTTCCAATGATTGCAGTTACTTACCCAATCAATAAATCTAATGCAAGGTAAGGTAATAAAATTAAGGTATTTGTTAAAATATGAAATGTAGACTATCCGAAATGTGTCTTCACTTGCCCTGTTTTACACCAGGAACATATCTAAAACACACTGAGATTAGACCTTTTATTTAAGGCTATAATCTCAGTAAATTATGTAAAAACGACAAAAATTGTCCATCGGCAATTGGATAACATTACAAAATAAGTTACATTTAAAACATAATAATCCAGGATGTTAAAGGTATTCATGTCTATTGGAAACAAACCTAAAATTGCACAACCAAATTTGTTTAAGGCAGAGACAAGATTGACATAAGGCATAATTGTAATGCCAAAGAGTTATGTAAGGTCAAGTGATACAGTGAAAGACAGACCCTATCAGACCATGGTCTGGTGCAATTTGACCTCAGATATCTTGCAATATAAAAAATCCAAACCATATACATACTGTACAAATACATAAAGAAATTTTGTAAAAAATAATAAAATCTAGTAATGGCATAATTTATGTTAACATTACAGCATGGTATGAAATGTCTACTGTTTAACAAAAAACAAATTTTTATAGATCTAGTTGTATAAAATACAATGGAAGGTTTCCATTATTATTAAAAGCACATTCCTGCGCAAACTCACTTGAACATCCGTAAGGTTTTGTGGATGACTAGTCTAATAGATGAATGAGGATTAACAACAATGCTTGTGACATGTCACTTGTATCATTTGGAGCAGTAACAGGTTTACAAGTTGGTATTTTTTCCTTGTAACTATCTCTGTCAACTCAAACTTTGAAACTAACCTCAGTATGAATGGGTCTCAGTTCTTGCAGAATTTGGCCATGGAATGCAACTGCAGTCTGTGAAAGGTTGGTCATTTTCACCTTACAAGTAAATTATCTCAACATATTTGTCATTCAACTATGACATAGAGTGAAATATTTTCACCATACCCGCAAACACATGTATTTCATCAAATATACAGTAAAGTCCCACAAATTCGACTTAACGTGGACCGAGAAGTGGACAAGTTACTGAAAATGGCAAGTTTTACGATATATCAATGATGCTATTTTAAATAAAAAGAAAATTTTCGTAAAGGTATTATATGTGCAAATTCATATACATATTAACTACATACCAACAGTAACTATTTCTATTAGTATTTAAATTTTAATTTAAAAAAATTATTCACTATTCAGTAAATACTTTTAAGTTAGTGACATTCGCATTGTGTCGTTTTGCAGTGACATCTTGAAAAAAATTATTATATTCTTTGCTAATGTGAGGAATTGATGCTATTATCAAGTGTTATCAGCAAAAACTAACTTACTTGATATTAATGTTAAGTTATAGGAATTTAAATTATATACATTTTTTGACTGACAAGTTTTGTGGAATGTCGCGTTATCGAGAGTCGAGTTTCTGGGACTATTGCATCATCAAACTGTTATAGGAGAGACAAAAGCTTACTTGTGTACATGTTGTCAGTCTACTCCCTCTGATAAGCAGATGCAAACAGGCTTTCATAAGATAGAAATGAAAGCTATGTATTTTGAATGTGTGGGACCAAAAAAGAAAGTAATAGAAATAATAACTCAAATGATTGCTGTAATTAAATCGGACTAATTTTTTTCACCATTGCTTATAAGTAGCAGCATAAAAATAGCCCAATTAATTACGGCAATCATTTGATTTATTATTAATACAATCGAGCTTAGTAATGCTATATTTATATATACACACCATGCCAGGGAAAGTAATAGAAAATGACAGGTTACACAAACATTTCTGGTTTAATTATTTTTCCTTTTGTTGAATACTGACATGTTCCTGCAAAATTTTCATGTTCCATGAAACATGAAAACTTCATGGAACATGATTTTATGACAGATTGTATAATTATAGAGGTATTCTGAATTGTCAATGCTTCATTTATAATAGACAGATTAATTTTGCTATGAATGAATAAAAATTAGTCAAAGGCCCTCCATTTATTGAACCGATAACTTGAATAAAATGTTCATGTTAGCATAGCAGTTAATAAATGAAATTACAGTATTTCATTTATCACAAAAATAACTGTTTTTAGCTGATTCGATTTCTAAAAACCTTAATACAAGCCAGAATTTTTGAACTGTTACACAGTAATGATTTAAATTAAACTATAATTTGGCAATTAATTAAATTATTATCCTAATGATTTACCTACAAATGACCTAATAAAACTTACGACTCACCAACCGATCAACAGGTGTTAATAACGTTTAAGTGATGAACATCTTTGTTACTCTTTCTGGGCACTTCTTCAGGCCAATTCTTATTTCAAGTAGGCTGGCCGTTGACATTCGAAAATAAATTGAATGTCAACGGAGCTATTTTGTACGAAACTAAACTCATACAAAATGAGACAGTCAGGTGGTAAGGAATGGAGTTATAATGACATTCTATGAATCATTGAGGGTTTAATTTTGATGCCTCATAAAATAAAATTTTAAAAAATTCAAGTACATTACCCTTTCATTTCACCATTTATTTTTTTGTACAAGAACTAATCTCTCAATCTACAGAAATCTTAAATACTAATTATTATTCACTATTTTTAAACAAATTTAAAAATGCATCTGGGCTAAAATAATTTTTAACAAATCAACTTACCGCCATAAATTATTCTTGTTTTGTTAGATACATCTTCTGAAATATTATCCTTCAACCACTGGCGCAATTGAGCATGAACTTCCTGAGCCTAACGAAAGAAAAATATATTTAAAATTTAAATAAATGTATTGATTATTTGCGCAATTAAATACAGAAAGAAATAATAACCTGTTCGGGTGATGCAGTCTTTCCTGTGCCAATAGCCCAGACTGGTTCATAAGCTAGAACAACATTGCTCCAATCTGATATTTTGCCTGAAATTCAATATATTTGAATTGATCAATAAAACATTTTTGTTAAAAAATTTTAGGTGAAATTACAGTTCTGAATGTGAGGATTTGCTCCCACAAATTTTAGTCTCTGGACAACACAAAAAAGTCAAAAGGAACAATATCTATAATTGTGACCATTCAAGATAGAATATCTGGGCTGCTCATTAAATATACAATTGGCTTAATACAGCACGACTCCGATCACACCCCAGTAATAGTCAGTGCAATGACATTCTTCATGTTTTATGAACTCTCAGTCACTTCTAATAGTGAAAATCAAGCATTATTTTGAGAAATAGTTCCAAATTTTTTCACTTTTACATTTTATCCTATTTTTGAGGGTCTTCAAATTACAGATAAACTGATTTCAGAAAGCTAAACCTCACAAAAGGGTCACATGTATACCATCTCTTCCTTTGACTTTTTTACTCCTACAGACATGTCTATAGCTCTGATAATGTCCCAAACGAATCATTCAAAACTGCATTTGTACCAAATTTTAATTATAATGACTTTATCTTACTTGCAATAGCTTTAGTTTGTCGATTAACTACTTCTGTTGTTTTCCCGCCTTCCCGTTCTTCTAAAAGTTCTCCAATGCAAGCAATTACCTTCAGACCTGAAGAAAGTGCATGTGCTACTTTGTCTGCAACTAACTGAAAAAATAAATTTAATTTTTAGAATGAATGCATCTAATTTCAACTTCCGAGCTTTCTAACTTGGTGAAGCTTACTTCATCAGTCTCTCCGAAGATGTTTCGCCGCTCAGAATGGCCAAGGATTACCCAATTTACACCAACGTCTTTAATCATAGCTGGACTGTGGTAAAATATAAATTTTTGTTAAATAAGATCAAATCAATTATTTAAAATATTTTTATATATTCTCCATCATATTAATTTTCATTTACAAAACTCAAACACACATTTAATTTTAAAAATATATATATATATATATATATATCACTTAAAGACAGTTCTAAACATCACTAAACCCGATGTAATATAGCTAATCACCAAACATATGCCGTAAATCCATCGGGCTAGTTTTAAGGCTAATTACTAAATAAATGGGCACTGAATGTGTCCCCAGCCGGCATTGTAATAACCGTCGATGGTTACATAGTTATACGCTGGAAGAGGAGATCGGATCGGAGGTCCGGATAGCGTAACTGGCAACGCATCTGCACGGTAAGCAGGAGTTGTGGGTTCGAGTCCCGCTCCGGGCCGATTTTTTCTCCCAGCGGTTCTAAATTATTTAAATTAATTAATTTATTTATAATTATTAATATTAATAAGAGATGGCGCCTAACGCTTACCTCTAGTGCCAAATTAATTACGTAATTTATTTAGTAATTAGCCTTAAAACTAGCCCAATGGATTTACGGCATATGTTTGGTGATTAAAGACAGTTCTTTCAAATTATTAACAACTTTTCCAGATATACACTATGATAGAATCATTCTAATAGAATGACTAACCATTAAAATCTGTGAACATGTAGATGGAATAAAGTTAAACTAGTGACACATACAGAATTCTAGTGACCTGAATGACTTTACATCACATTGAAAGTGGCTGCTGCCTGCAACTAAATGCTTGAACAATGTTCAATACTATCAAAAATAGTGGCATTTGCCAATCAAATATTTGTTTTCAAAGCAACTTGCTGCGAGATTTATTCTTTTAACTGTCTTTAAAGAAAACATCAGTGTAAAAATCTGGGGCTATCAAGTCTGACAAGTAAGGAGAGCCACAGTACTGTTTTGGAAGATTTGGATAACTCAGTTTCCTGTAACTGTTACACATTATCCTATCCTGTTAAAAACAGGTTATCACTGGGTGCCATTCAGTTATTCTGCATTTTCAGCAAAGACATAAGCAAATGAAATTGTTTAATGTCCTCTTAAAGCATGTAGGACCAATGATCCTTTAAGGTGTCTGTCACTTCGCATCAAAACAGCAATTTTTAAAAGTGAAAGGGACCCTTTTTAAGATCAAAAAAATAATTACAAAAAGTTTCAGAGACTAAAAATTTATCACTTGTATTAACATTAAGCTTATCAATGCCGACTGAAATTATCTGAAAAATCATATTAAAGAATACAGGTAGCCCTTGTACAACACTTTTTGCTCTAACATGTTTCGAGAATTAGCGACATCTCCATACAAAATCGTCACAATTTTTAAGTGAAAACACTATCGTTTGATATTTTTTTATTCAAATAAGTATGCATGTTGTCTCATATTTGCCCATGGATTTTAAAATATTGAAATTTTCAAAGTTGTTTTATGCCTTTCGTCCAGTTTTCTTGAATGAGAATTAATTGTACAATTTTTCTTCTTCCTTGTCCCAGCTACCTATTCTCACTTTTCTATAAACCATATGCAAAACCTATAGTGATGTCACTGTAATTGATGATAGTGCTTTAAATGAATCCAAAAGTCTGTTACATTTTGTTTTTATACATTAACTTAAGAGTTACTAATAAAAAGATTAAACTTTTTAAAAGATCTCTTAGGCAAATGCAAACAAATTCCGATTAAGGTCAACAGTAAAGCTCAGATAATGACAATGTTTTGCCAAAAAGAAAACATCCTGGTTACAAAATTGTATCTGATGTTTTATCAATCATAATATTAAAGACAACCAACTAAATATTTTATATAGTAAAACAATTTTTTTACACACACTTTGCTGTTTGTGGCATCTTAAGTTTTGTATTCAGTGTTTCCAAACTTTAAATGACTAACATACATCTACAGTCACTACACTGTTCTCTTCACAAAACTACTTTAAATCAGCATTACAGGAAATACACCCATATCTACTGTTTTAAGTTGGCTTTCCTGCAAAACTGTTCATCTTCTGAATTTATACATCCTGTTAATAATTTTCAACATATACTAATAAATAAAGTCTAGTATAAAAAAAAATATTTATTATTTATTATTCAAATAATGTAAGAATATAAAAAATTAAAATAATAATTTTAATTTTTAAAGTTCTATAGCTAATGCAGAAGATCCAAAATGGGAAGAGGCTAACTGAAAAATTAAAAATATTTGAATAATTACAAAATGTTTTATTAACATTTGCAAGACATTTGTATTAGGGGTTGTTCATAAATTACATCTGCAATTTTCTTGAAATTTTTACTTCCCCTCTCCCCAGTATGTCCTAGTTTATGTAACATCGATTTATTATAAATCATTAACATAGGCCAAATATGTCCACTAATTCGGCATTAAATAATTAAAATCGGATTACGAGTTGTAATTATAAAAGCTGTTTTAAATATTTACATGATATCAACACAATAAAAAATATTTAGATTTTACTTAGTATGTATCTTTATATATAAAAAATTTATCATTAAATTTGCTGAATTTGTTTTAATTACATAAAAAAATATTCAAAAAAACGTTTATTATAGAAAGAAAATTAGATATGAAATTTATTGAATGTACTAAATTTCATTGCAAAATTGCACATACAAAATTTATTGGATATTACATAACATAAATTAACTAAGCATTATTAAAAAAGCCAATCATTTCATAATTAACATTTTTTAAGTTTATATATACACAAGCATATAAAACAATTATCTATAGGAACTGGACCCATCCCAAACAGTATTTGCAAGGAATAGGACACAACACAACTGGACCCTATCTTGTCACTTTATGTAATAATTCTGTAATGTTTAACACACTGCAACAACATTAAAACACAGCAAAAAATTTTATAACTAAAATTTTTGCTGTGTTTTAAGGTTGTTGCAGCTGTGAATTAGTTTTAAATTCCATTTACTGTATAAAATCTTAATATTGTAAGAGATAGGTTCCATCTCTCAGACCTTTACATCTACCTGCTTCTCTGTAGAATCAAACCAGACTTCAGAGCAGCAAACAGATCACTAACTATCATCTTAATCATCTAGCCAGCCACTATACACTCTAAATAAAGCAATGTTTGCAAGTTCTTAGGAAACAAGCTGTCTCATTTAGATTACACCCATATGCTACATTTTAAAGGTAATATTCTGTTAACTGGGCGCCATTCAATCAATGACATCCAATTTGCGTAAACATCTTAATATTTGCTTTCTTTTACATTTAATCATATGTAAAGACTAATTGTATGAAAACTTACCATTTCCTTTACGTTTGTATAAAAGTTATAAAAGTCAATTATAATGTTAAACAATGACTGTTGATACACGTTTTATATTAAAAACAATTAGCATAATTTCTCATTGGTATAATTAAAAAAGTTAAATTTCTACTTCTAGTTGTATATTTTACATATAACTTGTTATTTTATGTTATTTGGTTGTTGATACACATTTGATATCGAAAATGATTAGCATAATTTTGCATTGGTATAATTAAAAAAGTTAAATTTCAACTTTTAGTTGTATATTTTACATATAACTTGTTATTTTATGTTATTTGGTTGTAAATTCAAAATTAGAATAATATTAAAAGTTCAAATTGCATTTTTAAAATTACTTTCAACCTACTTCGCATAGTACCGAGTCTCATAATTGCATCGTTCAACACCATGTGGTTATGTAAATTATGTTTCTTGATAAAAGTGATGCACATCATACCTTCTGTAATGTTTTTTCAAATTTCACTGTAATTATTACTTTTGGACAGCTTGTTATTCTTCAATTTAATAGATTTTAGAATGCGGCAATTGTCAACTGACAAAGCAATTGCACTTTGTTTTTCCTACAAATTGGAATCTTACATGACGAGTTAGGAATTAATCCCAGCACATTTGTTGATTGGAATAATTAGGTGAGTTATGTTTGTACCAATTCTTTAACATCTGTAATCATTGTAAAATTAGGTGATGCAAACAAGAGTCATTGAGAAGTACAGAAGTCGATTTACACGTATAAAACAAAATGTCAAATGTGTTCTACCACAGCAGTGGGTATTCGGTGGAATTCGCTGTGAGTTGAGTGTTTTTAATTCATTGTGCGAGACCCTTCTGCTAACACATCAATTGTGGCAATACAAAATGACGTGAAAGAAGGTAGTATAATATTTTCAGACTGTTGGAAATTGTATAAAACTATCAAGTTAGAAGACGAATGCAAACATTTGTGAGAAGACCACAGGTATAAACTTTGTCGACGCTGAAACTTGATGTCATACTCAAAGCATAAAAATAATTGTAAGTTTTTTCCTTTGTTAATTGTTCATTATTTCATTGTATCAATAATTTTAAACATGTGTGACTTATGAAATAAAATATTAATTTTGTTAAAAATGACTGGTGCCCAGTTAGTGGTAAGGTACACATTTTAATTTCATCCCATATATAAAGGTCAAAGAGGGTAAATACAGTGGCACATCCATAGGGGGAAGCAAGTGGCCCTGGCACGCTTCAAAGGAGAAATAATACTAGAAAAATTTTCCAAAAATATTTTTCTAATTCAAATTAATTTTTTTATAATGTGTCACGCCTTCTATTTCTATACTACTAATGAATTAGCAGCCACATAAGGTGGGAATTTTATCGAATTCAACATTAAAAATGCTTTCTTCCGTTCAACTCGGCTCCCAGAGATTAAATCCCAAGTGCACCACCACGAAATAAATAAAAACCCCAAATCAAATAGAGAAATGAATCTTCAAATTTACCAGTTTCTTTTAATAATTTAAATATATACTACGCTAGAATTTTCCGACACGGTTAGACTTAAATTATTTTAAGCAAACGGGTAAATTTGGTAGTTTATTTAAATATCAGCTCTCGATTATCATTTCAGAAGTTCCAGTTTATAATCCATTTTAAGGGCTTCAGATTTATTAATAACGTGGAAAAATTACCTAATTTCTCCAGTAAAGGCACCTTTTTCCACTTTGTAACAATTCTGTGCAGCAATGCCAACATTTGCAGGCATTTTTGACCTTGCAAAGTCCAAGTAGATGGAAGGGCATCCAAGAACCACCTCTGCAACATATCTTATTGTTAAATACAATGAGAAGACAGGGAAAATAATTATATTACATATAATCAATTATACCTGTATTTGGATCTAAGGGACCTTTGGACATAAAGCCTACTATTTCTTCTATACCCGCTTTATTTCCGTTCATCTTCCAGTTTCCACCGACGAAAAATTTCCTCTGAGACATTTCCTAGCCGGCTTTTCCCTCGATACGACAGATGAGGAATAAGTGTCACCTCTATGACATTCAAGTTAAATGCCCTTGATGCGCGTGACCCTTCGCACACTACATGCTTCTGCACACGTGCGCCATCGACATCGTAATTTCGTATTGATGCATTTTATTATTTCTCTAAAATATGTAAGGGAAATGTAATAAAAAAAATATTCAGAATATTATTAATAAATTTTGAAAAATAAAAGCTTTTAATATAATATGAAAATTTTTTGTTTTTTCAGAAATAATTTTGTCGAGTCCCTCCGATCGCCGTATTTTTTTTTTTTTTATAATATTTCCGCCCTGTGGGTACTAAGAGGGTCTCTTATAGCAGGCCCACAATGGGGAGACCGGGTGGTGAGGGACGGGGCCCGTATTATCCGAACGGACCACCCCCGAAAAATTCCTGGGGATTCCTTGACCCGTCCGATCGCCCTATTGTCAGCCTGGCCGAATCCGTAATGGACTTGCTAAAAAATACGGCCCGGTTAGTGTCCACAGGCCGGAAAGAGCTATAACAAAAAAAAAAAATAACCGTCTTAGTAGTGTCTTGCCCTCCCTGTACCTTATACTTTTCACTCAGCAACGGAGTCGTGCCTGTCATCTATTAACTGCTTTCAGGGAAAAAGCATTTTAAATTCGGTTTGCATCGGACGTTCGTATATTGTGTAGTCGGGGCCTTCTGCTCCTACGGTCCTACTTTCCAAATCTGGTCTCGTATTTCATCTATCTTACTCCGTTCTCAAGACTTAGGAAAGACAGACGGACGACAGTGGGAATTTATAGGTCTACAAATAATGTTTTTTTTTCAAATTGCAGCCCAATAAGAATTTACGAAGAACCAAAAAATGGTTGGCTGAAGAACACGTCTTGGTACTGAAAGTGGATAAAAGCAGAGCTTTCGTACTATTAAAAGAAGATACAGATCTCTCATGCCTCAGTACATCCTTGACACTGACTGAGAACCGGTCGACTACGGTTGTGTAAACAGATGACAGGCTCGGGTCACACGGTATACATATACGTCCCTAACGAAGATGAAATTAATTGGGATGGTGCCTCACCGGATATACCTAAGTCATTTACTTTCGCAAAAACGCAAAAACCGACGTCTTTTCTTAGACCCGTTGTGGATAAAACAAGATCTCTAACTCGACTACTAGAAAAAGCGGTACACAACATTGCATTGGAGCATTTGAAGGATTATACGTTTACTATCAACCCTGCTACTTACCATTATTTAGTCCGGCAAATTCGGTCGACCCTTTTTCGTATAAAGTGACAGCCCTTCGTGCACTAACAAGACGGGCCTGTACATGACATACTAGTTGGAAAGATACTAATAGAACTAAAACATCTGGATGACATAGCTATAAAACATGGGCATAGAACGAACCTAATGTGTAATTTATCTCGCTCTTACTCCAACCAACAAGCCACGCGCAACGTCTCCAATACCCAAGAGATTTCATCAGAAGTCAAGCTTGCAACCCTAACTCCAGGAGCACAGAGATAGAGTATAACTACAGTGACCATACGTCCTTTATTTAAGAGGACAGTCCTTTATTTCACTGCTCTGTCCTTTAACTTTATTTATTTTCTAAAATAAGCATTTTGTCCTTTATTTTGTAAAGTTGATGCAAAGTTTAAAAAAATTTTTTTTAATAATATATTGAACAAGTTAGTTTTGTATACGCCATCACGACCAGTGTTGCATTGCTACATAGAGCGCAGTAGTGCAGTGTGTCGCCAACCAAACGGCCCACTGACAGTACCAGGGGGTGGACACTCTTATGGGGATTTTTGTGATAGTTTTTTAACTCTCTAGTTGATGGATGATACACTTGTTAATTAAAGCTGAAGTTAGTTGAAAGAAAAAATGAGGGGTTTCTTCCTATTGTTATTAGAAAAGTGGTTTTAGCATTAGAAAAATCAGAAAATATACAAGCCAAAAAATGCAATGATGCTGTGTACACATTTTATCAAACGTGCATAGATTATCTAAATAATTGGGACATGTTTTTTTTATTGAAATAGAGGTGTTTGAATGGATCACATTATGCGAAATCCCTTTGTGGGCGAAAGTAGAGGAAAGCTATATCTTTATTTCGAATCATTGGTCCGTAAATATACTCGATGGTGAATTATTTGAAGTTTCATGTGTAAAAAAATATGTCACAAACGAAAAGATCGAAGGATGGTGACAGAATAACCAGCCATCAAAGGTGGATTGAGATTTTTGAACATTTTACAGCAAAAGAAATTGTTTTCAAAAACATTGTAAAATCGTAGAATTTTCTTTGTCTCCCTGGATCTAATGCTCCCGTTGAACGAATATTTTCATTGGTGAATAATAGGTGGACGAATGAAAAAAACTGATTTAAAAGTAAGCAAATTAGAAGCATGTATTTCCATCAAATACAACTTTCAAATGAACTGTATGGAATTTTATAACTTTAAACGGTGAAACGGCGCTATAAAAAAAATTAATTCTACTGAAAAGTATCAAAATTAATGTTAATTAAATTTTTACAATGTGTGTATGTGTAATAATTTATATTGTTTAAAATTTTAATGTATGCATTGTTGTATGCTACTACTTTCGTAATAAATGTTATAAACTTATGAGATATTTTTTGATTTTCTTCGATATGTCCTTTATTTTCCCCCAAAAAATATGGTCACTGTAAGTATAACCAGCATTTACATACCATATATAGAGAAATTGCTGACCATACAGGTATAAAGCTTGCATACAAGATTAGAATAACATACCTTTTTATTAAATTTAATACATTAGATTACGCTTGTATTTTGTTTGTTAATTTATTTTTCTGGGGGTGAAATATAAAGTAGTGTACACTAAAATAAGGAATGGTCACTGAACAACGAATTACCGAGAAATTCCCGATTTTCCAGTGAGCCAGTCCTCCACTGGAATCGATTCTCAATGAGCTGGAAAATGTCCTTTGCTGGTACTAGCAAGCCCGAACACCAGGCATACTTGTTTATTGGCATATTCTAAGAGAAAAATCCTTTAAAATAGATGCAAAAATACGGATTATAGCCTTTCCTACTTCAAACGCTTGGATCTCTGCTTCAAGCAACTCTGTGGCATAATATTTAAGAAATTGGCAGGAAAGTGTGCTGTTGCAGACATCAACGCCACGAACCTCTGATTCGAAAGTCTTCCTAAGTTACTACAGGCCGCAAGACTCTGAACTTCTGTAATGCAGATAAAACAAGCCTCTTTAATTAACTAGCATTGACACGCTAGTTGTAAAAAAGAGTAAATACTAGAGTTGAAACTCAAGAAGAGACCTGACATGAAAAAAAGTGCAAATGAGCGATTAATTATTCTACTGTGCAAAATAATGATGGCTCAGACAAATAAATGCCCATCGTTATTGAAAGTCTACCAAACCATCGTGTTTTTAAGAATATAAAAAAGCTTTGTAAATCTGTAATCCGTTAAGCCAACTCCCTTTTAAAGATGAATGACGACAAAGATTTTAACGAATAAGACTATACATGTATTCTTGACGCAACATTTAGTGCACAAAACAAGAATATTCTCTTCGTTGTAAACGATCGTTCCGGACACATCCATCTTGTAGAATGTAAAGATGGTTTTTACGCTTTCCGAATTATGCCAGTAACGTAAAACCTGTTGACTTGGGCCGGGTGTAATCAAATGCTTCAATCAGATATACAGGAAGCAGATACAGCAAATGAGTCCAACTCAAGATCCTGTAAAACACTTTATTCTTTGGCGTAAAAAAATCACCCCGTATACATAGTATAATCCAGAACATTTTTGTAAAATATGGCTATGTGAAAAGATTGAAGAAGATCAGACTTAAAAGAGATCAATGGAAATGTCGATAACATCACGCTAAATTAAAGTTAGGACAAACTATCGCTGATGTGGACTTTTATTCTTAAGTATCTATGGTCGAGGAGCTCGTAACTCGTGATGTATTGTGTGGAAGAAATGTATGAAAGTGGAATTTTGAGTGGAGCAGTAAATTGGTGGTAATGATGATAATGAAGCCTAACCCGAATCACACCGGTATCGAATTCTTGAACGTACAAAAAAGCACATTACACGTTCAAGTCTTTTCTCTAACTTTTTCTGCCCTGTGACCATTCAGAGAACCTCATTATAACAAGCCCATTATAGTTGACCCCCCTATAACACTGTTGATAATTCCGTTTTATATGAATTCCATGTTGTACGAGTCACTTAGATTTTACAAATACGTGAGCCATTCACACCCGGCACACGTATTTGTAAAATCTAAGTGACTCGAACAACACGGAATTCATATAAAACGGAATTATCAACAGTGTTATAGGGGGGTCAACTTGTATTAGTTTAGCCAGGCCGACAATGGACCTGCATTTGAATCTCTGAGAGAGGTTTTCTACGTTCACATCATCGAAAGAGAAATATTGAAAGATTATTGTTCAATTTGAAAAAAAAAAAAAAAAAAAAAAAAACAGAATCACTAAACAAATGAAAATTAATGACACTTCAAAACAATTGGTACAAAAAAATATATATTTGGTGTAGGGTTTTTCAATTTAGAAAATATAAGGAAATGTAATCATTTTATTTCTTATAGGCCTTTACATTTATAGTTTTTGTCGGAACTTTAGACAGAAATGACGAATCGAAATTTTACTGTATACAGTTTATTTTGTTTGTTAATTAAACCAGGATAAAAAAATACCCTGGTTAAACTTATTTATAACAAGCGGTATGGCGGAATACGGCTCTTCATACACGTTGCCATGCTAATAATTACACCATTCATTTTTATTTTCGTTATAAACAGTAAGTAAATTTAATTATATAATTTCACGTTATTTTAATTTCGTAATAATAATATAAACTTCAAATATAAAATAATTAATATATATATTTTTTTAAATAAATCATAAAAATATATTATTTTGGCTATTTTCGGGCGTGTTATAAAGGCGATTCAAGACGATTTCGGCTGACTTACGTGACAGCTAATCAAGGAAAAAGGGCGTCTGATTGCAAATAAGCAAAATTCTGCGTTAAAAATATAAA